TCATTATATTATATGATCATAGGTATAACCGGTTTTGAAAAGCTCTAAACTGGCATTGCACTCAAACTGCGGACCACTTAGCAAGTCAAGCATGTTTTTTGCCTTGGGAACCAAAACTTTCTTGACAACCTTCGAATAAACCCAGCATTCATGGTCAGTATCAGTTTCTGCACTTGATCTTGGGCATCATGGTTCTGGAAACTAAGTTTTTCCGGTAACTACTATGAAAGTCGTGAGATTCCCGGCACTTACCCCGCAGTCACGGAACTTCCAGTTTTGTTTCAATCTTTCCCTGCCCCGAAGATACATTTTTTTGAAAACGACCTTTGCAAAAATGTCTGATATTGATGCCCAGATTCAAACATCCGACTTCTGCAAAAGTAACTCTTCACTGGTATGGCCTGAGCCGTTGCCTGGGACGGCTACAGTAAAATGAAACAGTTCATCATTATGGCCGAAAGTCAAGCTAAGACAGCCAAAAGGTCACATTTGCCATGTCAGCTTGTAACGTTCAAAATTGTCACACTTTTTTCGGAGCACATAATTTGACTTTGTCTAAAGGCCCTGAAAGAGTTCGAGCAGAGCATTAAAAATTTCGGATGCGGTTAGTGTATCCCTACTTGCTATATCTAAGTCTGGAGACGATAAAACCATATTCCTCCAATAACAATCTCGAATTATCAGCCAGGTAACAAAGTGTGTTTACTAAAAACTAAAATTATTAAAGATATAATGATGCACGGTGAAAACATTGGTAATTCTTTATAGGCCAATGTTTTATTGGCACGATCACTGTAACCATAATGAAAGTCTCGTTTCATCGTCTCGTTCGTTGCTATGTCGAATCCCCATTAACAATTTTTAAGATTTGATTTCGCCAGCAGCCTTTAGTACATACATAGGGTGCGTATACCAAGTTCCACTCTTCAGTTTGGCAGATTTCTTCAAGCTTGCGTTTCCCACAATTTTACATTTACGTAACATATATATATATATATATATATATATATATATATATATATATATATATATATATATTGTAAACTTCGTTTTTGGCTACTTGAGCGTGGGACGCCGGGAGTCACCCTGTGTAACCTTGTTACCTAACCAGGCAAGTAATCTAAGGTGCATTACGTGTGAAGTTCGGGTGTTTAATTTCCTGTATCGTAAAACCGAATCACTCATGTAAAATGTCGGCGCTGCAAAGGTCATTTAGTTATTTCTGCTATAAAAAGAGTCAAGGTATTGTTCATCCTTAACATATATACACATTTTGGTGGAATTTTTGTTCCGATAGGTGTAAGAAGCTTCTCATGCGTTGCTCAAGCTTTCGCCAACAGCTGACAACTAACGGCAGATAAGGTGATGCCTCATTATGCCGATCTTTTCTGGCTTTCACTACATAAGAGCTTTGGGTGTACAGATCTAGAGGGAGAATATGTACTAGCCGAATTTTTGTGCTTACAGATACTACTAGAAATTGGTGTTATACGATACCGCAGTCTTCTAAAGAAGTCTTTAGATAATTTGGATAGAATATTTGTTATCTCACAAAGTTGACGAACTTTCCATTTTTGACCTTTTTGTCTGTGGAAAAACCTCACTTCGTAAACTCGATATATATTATATCATATAAATGTCCATTGTCCACCAATTAGTTCTACACCGGCGTAATGGATTAGGTCGTCTCAAGTACATAGTGTCTTATTTATTTTCGACCAACTAAACTACCAAAAATGAAATTTTTAATATTATATTTTGTAGACAATACTGCAACGAAAACAAAAGCATGCAGGCTGTAAATAGGTAATTCATTTGAATCGTAGCAGACCGTTGGTCATTAGTATAGACGTTCGTTTATTGCCTAACAACAAAGTTTTAACTGCTTTAATTTCGATGCTAAATCCTAGAAAAAAAAAACAGAGATACCTACGAAACAATAAAAAAAAACCTACTTCTAGCAAGCTTTAAACTTTGTACTTGGCTGTGTAGTTCATTTTGTTACAAGAACCTCTTGGTATATTCACTGTGTAAATATACTCATGGGAGATCTATAACTTTTATAAAACATAGTTCATTCAAATATTAGTAGCAGTAGAAAGAGAAGACGACGCTACTCCATAGCAAATAAAAAAAGCTCGATGCTATTACCCAACCGGCGACGGGGGGTGTCATCGGCGGACAAATAAACTATCTCCCGTATCAACTATTACCGCTAGACTATCGAAAAACTGTTATTTAAAAACTATTCTTTTCTTGGCGTTTTTGTTGTTATTGGGTCTTGCCAATGCACACAACGAAATGTGCGTCGAGCGCTGACCGCATCTCAGGTCATAATGTGTAGCAATTCAACCATGACCGGAGCGTGCCGAGGGTGTGTGTATGCATCGGATTATAGAATCGGTCGCGAAATCTCACAGAAGCCGCTGATCAGAACAACGACAGCTGTTTTTTGCTCATGTTGCTTGTATTAGCTCGTTTCAACGTAACTGGGGCAAAAAAACGATACAGAATCATGTCGATACTGTTATGCTCGTATTGGCCACTGTTTTGCCCACTTAGCGGCCAATGGAAGCAGCGGCGCAGCTGAATTCCTAAGTGCCCATTTTGACCGCGGTCTAGCTTCTTCTGTTCCCCAACATTCTTCGATATATGCCAAAGCAGCAACTCGTATCATGGACAATTGAATCAAATAATATCTTACACGCACATTAACACACGCTCACGTCAACAGCGACGCAGAATCCGTGTCAGTGTTTGGCGATTTGATAATGATGTGATGTCAATAATACGCCACGATGACGGTGATAATCATGGTGACGAGGATAGTGATGAGCAAATAGTCTAATTCGTACAGCCTTAGAACGAGGTTTTAATATTTTTACTTCGCGGCTATTGGTGACCACGCAGGCAATGGCCTGAAGACAACATGAAGATCCTACTTATGATGAGTCACTTATGTGCCAAAGTAGAAAGTGTTAGGGTAACGTAAAACAAATAAATGATCACTATGCTTTGGACCAAATCAATGAACTAACCGCCTCGTGAAGAAGTGTAAAATAGGAAAACGCTTGTGAATGACACGTCTCAGCGTTGTTGTACTATAATGCTATATTTAAACAGCGCCATAGAAGAAAGAACCCGGTGAGTGTAAAATGTGCCTAATTGTACGGTTACATTGCCGGAATTGGCATTTTTATTAGAACATAAAGGAAGCATTGGCTTGACTTCAAATAACTTTAACACTACAGATAGATTATTCCTGCTTTTTGTAGTCACGAATGATGACGGCCATACTGGTAGTCCACGAACGTATTGACGTAAGGCTTGTTCTTACGGCGGCCGTGGAAGGGCTGCCAGTCGAACACGGGGAACCATACTTGTAACGAGCTCCCAAAAATGAAGGTGGGTCTACTATGAGGTGATTGTTCTCGTGGTGGTGCAGTTATGAGTCTCTGTCTATTGAAATTAAAAAAGACGTGGTAGTTTAGACCGGTCGTTGACATGTGGCCTTGATTTCATGAATGCAGAAACCAGTCGTGTAAAGGAAAGGTTAATTAAGACGCTGCCAGACATAACACTCGAGATATTTTCTTATCTAGTAAGAAATGGAGAGAGAGTGAGAGAGAAAGGGGGGGGGACATTTAGAGTAAGTACCTTAGGCCTCTATGTTTCAAGTTTCCTACGTCCTATATCGCCGTGAGGCGTTCCATTAGACCTTTGATTTATTTTGGCAATCCCTCTTCATTGAGAAATACTTAGAATGCCTTTGAGATCCGCAATAATCTCTCGTTGTCGCCCAGGTCGCCGCCAAACCAATGAGATCTCGAGACCGATTTGAGGTCCTTTATTTAGTACGCCATGACAAATATGGGACTTTGTTGTTGTGCGACTCATAGGAAATTTGTCAAAGGTTCTGCGAGCTCAGAAATCACATACGATTCCGCTGAGAGTGCTTCTGTAACCTTGTGAATATTCAGAGATTTTAGCTTGGTACGAGCAGTCGGCATGGCATTGCATGTCAGTTTACTATAATGGAAAATGAGCTAAACTCTATGGATATGAATTGGAGCCCAATAACATTTTTATTTATATTAAAGAAGCTACGTGGTACAAGAAAGCCATGCATTTATTATAAAGGAGTAATTTTTAGATAGTAGACGTTGCATACGGCGCCTTAAAATTTGGCCTAAAAAAGGCCGCTACCTTAATTAAACTGACCGCTGAACCGCTGACCAATAACCAGATGACAAAAATACATATTTTGTATACGATTATTGCTTTATTTTAAACACAGATAAATTGTTGAACTGGTTATCAAACAGGCTATAGTGATTTCACAAAGGAACGTAGAATAGTCCGTTAATATGACCTTAGATCAGTTGATTCTATTCTGGTAGTTCAAAAGACGTATTTTTAGTGAAACAATAGGCTTCGATGTACCACTTTACTGAACGTTTTAACTGAGTGGTGATGCTTTTCATGGTTAAACAGTGGAACCCGTCATCAGAGAATATTGTGACGATATACCTGTAAGCACATACAGTTGGAAAAGTCCAACTAAGTAAACAAAATGACCCGTGTAACTTCTGCGAAGCACAGGCGCCCAAAAGTCTGTGGTAACTTCACCGGAGTCAAGGCACACATGAGATCGTAGATCGCGTAATACCTACATAGGGCAGAAACTGAAATGCTTGTTATAGGATAAATATGTCGGCCTATTTTCTATTTGCCCCCTCCTATGTGTAATGGATCGAATGATGGAAAGATTATAAACGTTGCCAAATCTATGCTTACGTTCGTATATGTGGATAGTTGCAAGGTGGGTGAAGCCAGGTCGATATAACCGTATGCTGAGGAAGGACCCTTCGTCGTATATTGTTTCCTAATAAATGTATCTTTCCTATACCGTCTCTATACTTCTGCGGCGTCGTGGGGTGACAGTCTGGTCAAAGTGTCTTCTTCTTTCGTGTCTTCTATAGGTGTTTCCCTTTCCGCAATATGCCCCAGCGTGCGCCTTCTGCTCGCCACTCGGCCGGCAAATAAAAGGCCGTCGGATTCCTACTGGCGGTACTACTTCATCGTTGAAAACCGCAAAGATACAAGCTGATAAAATATGACGTCCTCTGCCACGCTGACCTCGATCTTAGCCGGTGCGTGACAAGTGCGTTAATATTTGGTTGGGAACAAAATCAAAAAGTGTCCATAGCGACGTAAAGTGTAGTGCCCGACTGTAGTTTCTGATGCTGATAGAGGTTGTGCTCTCATTTGTTGTGTATCGGTGCTATCACAGCGGTTAGAACTTCGAAAAACGATAAGAACTAGCCAACACGTCGTATGGTCTTTTATAACAGATTAGGTTGTTTAATCACCATTAGCGTTTGGCCTAGACGAAAGTTGTAAAAAAAGTGATTATTCCCTTAGTTATTCACACAATCAACTGTTGTAAAATACCTAGATAAATGTCTCATACGATACGGATTGGTTGCTACTATTTGCGTGTGGCAGCTGGGTTCGGGCTTATTGTTGGCATGCCAGTGGATACCTTCGTCATTGCAAGCGTGCCAATTGTGTCTGATGATGACCGGTAACAAAAGTTGTGCTTTCTCACTAATATGTTTGTTGCTCGTTTATGCGTTGGTTTACAGTAGCCACGATAATTGCAAGCGTCTGGTCGCAACGCGCTTACCAACTACCAGATGGAGCTGAACTACTTGTTGGTGAAGTGCGGACGAATTTTCACTGTCCTAATAAATACGGCTATTATGCTGACGTTGACAATAATTGTCGCGTATTCCATGTGTGCAATCCTGTCACGCTGGCCGATGGAAAACAGCAGATCCAGCACTACTCGTTTCTCTGCGGAAACCAGACTATGTTCAATCAGCTCTCGCTGACATGTACCTACGAAGAAGACTCTGTGCCATGTCAGAACGCTCCCGACTTCTTCTACGTAAACGAAAATATCGGCCTCGAGGATGCGCATTTTCTAAGCGACAACGACATCAAGAAGGTCGCTCCGTTGTTGCGTGGATTTGGCGCACGGAACGCTAGAGCCTAGGTGAATCGTAAAGAGACACGCTATAATAGTTGAACTGAGATAATCCAGTCACATACTTACTACATGCTGTAACGCTCGAAACAAATAGCCAAACCGTCCTTGTACATACGTGAAGTAATCGAGATCATATGGAGTGCCTATAACAGTAATTATTAAATATATAGTATTACTATTATAAATGCTATCGTTATACGGTCGTTGAAATAAAAACGGAGCTTACAATTTGTAGCATTGCGTATTGTTCATTTGTATTAGTTCGACAAACGTTGAGCAATAGATTTTTACGTGCTCGATTCAAATTCTATCGGCTGAGATGAAACCGCGAACAGATAAATATTGCAGGCTTATTTTTAGACATGGTCGGTCATATTGGAATTGACCGAGAATAGTCGCCTATATATTTGTGTGTTAGATATGATTCTGGGGGGTCGGGCGAGTATTCGTGTGGGCGAGTACGGACACTCGCCCGCCACGTATATAACAATGCTCTCTTTAGCATTTGTAGCAAAAAAAAAAAATATAAATACTAATTTTTGCATCGGCGCGAGGAAATGGAATAAGAGTTTTTAAGATTTCGACCCAATGTTTAATACTTGCAGTCCCTATACGACCACTCCGTTAAGCAAATAGCGAATACTAATGTATAAATAAGTATATATCCAGCTCGATGTCGCAAAGGACGGGGTTCTATACTAAGTGCTAAATAACAAAGAATTTCGTGCCCAGTTTTTGCGTGGACTGTATAGGGACGGCGTAAATGAAATATGCTGTCAATTCTGTCTTTGACAAAGTATATACCGCACAAAGATCACGTGCGCATTGAAAGATTTCCTTCGAGCGATACATACGGAGCTTAACGTACGGATTTTTGGGTAGGTGACTCAACGGTGGAACGGATCGAAACCCGGATTGCTTTATTGTTCGCAAATCCGATAACCAATAACACGATCTATATAAGATATTCCAAGTATTTTACCCTACAGGACAATGAGGTGCCATAACAATGTTAAGCTGCCTGAACCCCTTACCGTACGCTGAATATTTACATTGACAAGATTAGGTATTTGACAAAGTGGTGATCGTAGTCGAACGTTGAAAAAAACTAAGCGGATAAAAAAAGGGTAGAATAGAGGGTTTCCTTGACTTGAGCGGCCACGTGATGGTGCAGTGTCTTCGTGCTTCCGCCGTGAAGCTAACCGGACGTAGCACTCCAATTACTTTGATAGAAGGCGAAAAAAAAAACAAACACTTAAAAAATAAGATCATAATATTAATATACTGTTCGGGTTGGCTTAACTAGTTGACGCTCATGGGACTCCGGTTGGAAGGCTAAAACAGGCGAGTTAATCTTCGGAGCAACTACAATTGATGTCTATAATTTGATATTTACAATGCTCTATGGGCCCGCGTTTACTTAATCTATTGCGAGTATTTACACTAGATTTGACTTATACGAACACTTGACCATAGTATTGGTCAGCCCAAATCCGACAAGGTCAGCAAATATGTTAAATTTGGTTAGTAGTAACAAAACGTGTCCACGCTCAGTTTCACACCCAGACGACCGCACGTGTCTTAATAGATTAAAAGTTAACACTTCAGCAAAACGGCCATGGGCACCTTCGCGAGAGACAGATACCACTCTCTTAATCGATCTTAATGCCATTCTATACAAATAGAAAATTATTTAATATCTGAAGAGTTTTTACATTGGTCGTCTGTGTATTGCTTAGAATCAGCTTGATCAAAGTTAGACGAGAAAAATTATCTTAGAAAACAGGTAGCCTCTGTCAAACCGCCTAGCAATTGCTTACGTAGCAATTCACTTTGAGTGGAATATAAAATTGTAAAAGGATGTACCTTACGCGTCGAATTTTACATTCAGATGCTTAATAAATTCATGTATTGTGTTGCGTTCCAGACTTGCCTCTGCCCGAAACTCTTTGATAGTGCAAAGTATAGTTCGTAGAAAAGCAAAAGGCAAAATCACACAAAAACGGTTTTGATAACTCTAATTTTCGTCTTCTTTTCGTATAACTTGATTCACTAGTGACTACGTACCCTTACATTTAGCCCTAGTGCGGTTTTTACTGCAGCTACGCTATTGGATCCCACAACAGACATTGAGAACACAGTTATGCGGAAATTACGAAATTTTGTTTCACAGGACATTCTAGTAGAATTCAATGGTTCATAGACATGTTTGCAATTTTGTCTTCACCCGATAATAAATTTCGCTTTTCTATTAATATGGACACCGGAGTCCTGTTGGGCTGGCGGGAAAACCCCGCTTAAGCCGTTATTGTATAACTTTTCAGGATGTTTTTGCCTAAACTATGTAAATATTAGTATGCAATTTTAAACGTCTGCATGAACAGTGTCCCCCTAATATGCCCCATCATCGTAATGGCACGCAAGGAAATGCCATAGTGAGCTGAAGTTCATCTCTAGCAACTTTTGCATAGTCTTCGAAGTAGTATCTGCCAGGTCGAATGAACTCCATGGCATGGGCCATCTGGTAAAGTACAACGTCACGAAGTCTTTGACAATCAGTAATGAGCATTTCATTAAGCACTATTCGCACCCTTCTCTCAGCTCCTTCCGTAGAGAACTCCAAGATCGAATACGCTCCTCCTGTTTGTGACCGCCACACGAATTCAAATAATCGTCTCGGTGGGCTACCAAATACGTAGAAAGAGTAAAATCTGAAGAGATCTTCAATAAGCTGGTCTCTGTTCCTTTCGAAGCTTGACAATATGTACCATCGAGCGGATACATGGCGATTTTGGATTGGCTTTCTTGACAGACTATGAAGAAAGCTGCAAACGCTTTCTTGATCCGTGATCTCGATAGGCCAGTGGACGGTTATTGGCTGTGGAGGCCGACTATCATCCAGCCTTACTGGCGGCCCAGCCCTAACGGGCACTTCATAAACCAGGCCCTGACTTTCGGCAGCAAGTCGTATAGAGTCGTGGATCTGTTGAAGCTGGGTGTTCTCATCAAATGGGATTCGCGCGTGAGGTGATCCGTGTCGTTCCAGCAGCGACTGGATATCTTCCGGCGTTAGTCGTAGACGCAGAATATTATTTAAATCAACATAACATTGGCCGACTTGGGTTATGCGATCGGGACCCGGTAAGAGCTCCGACATTACACCCGGAGATGCGTAGAAAGAACCGATCGTGGGAATCGATCCTGCACATCCTGGTGGAGCGTTTACTCGTAGTGGCAGTACAGGCTGCTGCGCCCCTAGCAGCCCTTCAAGAACGGCTCCCGTCTGTGCTCCCCTTCCAGTGGTTCCATATATTCCCTGCTGGGGGACATGGCCTTTCTCTGCAGGCATAATGGGTAAATTCTTTCTCAATCAAATTATCTACTTGTTTTGAACGCATATCCGCGCTTCGTCATTATGTGACAAAAGATAGAGAAGTCTAGATGCTTGTTCCGTGCTACATGGCCTATAGATCAAAAGCAAAGAAGTTATAAGGGGCCGCGTGGTGTGGATGGCAATGCGTGTATCTTTCAGTACGCTATCATGGCAACTATAATTAACAAGCATGCTGCCACAGCGGTTCAAATCTCAGCGTTCGCACAAACGATTATCTTATAATCATAACTTCGATAACTATGGAAATATGGAAGAAGTTAAGGGAAGTAACAAATAGTTTTAAAAGTGCTTGTATAATTACTGTGCCGTTTAATAGATTAGTTGGACAAACGCTACATAATTGCAAAAAGACCCTACTTGATTAGGTTCCTAGTAGTCGAGTCCTTGATGCTATACCGAAAAGAATTCAATCTCCGATTTTGCATACATCTAAAGGAAAGCTGGAGACATCAAAGAAAAAGCTTTTTACAAACAAGTCGTTGAAACGGAACTAGACCGATGTTGAAATATATTTCAGGGCATCGTTTCAAAACGAGAGAGGAAGAACTCAAAGGAGTTCAATGTTGGTATACAATGATTGACGATACGTGAATCCATCATTGTACATCGAAAGAGATGGGGTGAGTCGACTAAGAACGAGCGGACTCCTTACATACTAGCCAACAAAATGTTCATTATTCAAATAGATTTTGCCGACTTGTTTTCGAAGTGCTTGTTATCAGCAGCTACAACGGCGCATGTTGTACAATTCTTTTAACAACCTCACGAATATGACTGGTCGGCAAATGGAAACTCCTCTACCTCACTCGATAAATCTATTCTCCATAGATTCGTTAAATAAAACATCTACAAATAGATGTATATTTGCAGATGGCTTAACTATATAAGCCACAAAAGCTCCAAAATGGAAATTGCCAAATCAGTTTCTACGGTGAAGAAAGTTGGAAGTGTCACTAAAGACAATCTGTCGAATTATTATTTTCAGTTTCATTCGGAATCTATTAAGTCAGAGTCTATTTGTTAAGCGAACAAATTGACTGTGTTGGTCTTTGATTTGATCGGAGTAGATGTTTCGAGTTTACGTCTGCTAATGGCGTCAACGATCGGTTCAAACGGTTGCATTCTAGATGTGCTCATGCCTAACTTCGAACCTAGACCACTTCGCCTGCACCTGAACTGATTAGGCAAATGTATTACCACTATTTCGGTCAAAGTCGTTTCATTTCACAGAGATCGTAGAAGTTAGAAACAACAGATTTCTGGGTTATATGGTCCAGTACCTTTTCTAGATGATTCTGACAGGAGTATCGTTCTGATTGATCAAACGAGGATATGCGTTTACAGAAGCAACTTTTTCCTCCTCCACCAGTTTAGGTTACCTGAGGTGATGTTGTGATTTAGGTTCGAACCGGGGGACAGACAGGCAGACTTCCTTTCGTGCTGAGAGCCAGCCAGCCAGCCAGCCAGCCGTCTGTCTGATGGAATTATGCCCAACGGCAATACTGGATGTAAAGCTCGAAACATAAAAACATAAAGGTAAAAATTTAAGTGGTAGCAAATCGAGGCAATTTAATATCTATAATTAATCAGGCTATATTTTTTAGCTGAAGAATGGAAGACCGAATAACTTTTCATTAGCGTCGAAGATCTGCCCCTTCTATTGTTGCCCACCACACTGTAGCGAATTCTAAGGCTCAATTACCTTACGTATACGCCTCTGAAGTTTTGTATGTAGAAAGCAGTCGGATGAAGCCCGAACCAATTATCTAGATTGTAACCGTTGTCTATAATACAAGCATGTTATTGGTTTAAAAAAACGAAGAGACGTATGTCTGTGAAAAGCCAAGATGGATTCTTCCTATAGTTTAGAAACAAAAAAAAACCCACATTTTTCGTAAATTATAACACAAACTCTCTGAATAGTCGTTTGGTTTAATTTTTCGAAAAAAAGACGTTCCATGTAGGGCCCAGCCGATACCATGTTCATATCACGAGGCATGTATAAATAACTGTATCAGTTTAAAATAAAGACCTTTGACAAGCAAAGCGTACCCACATGGTCGTGGGTACCGACAAACAACGACTACATGACTACTGCAATAGATAGCAGACAATGTTAATCATAATATTACATAACGTTTCAATATTCAAATGCATGGTGGGAACAAAACAAATAGAAATCTCTATTACAAAACTTGCTTTGTTCACAGTGCAAAGTCTGAACGCTGAGTTTGGCGGCTACATTAAGCTCGAGCTTATAGGAATTCAGTTTTCGAAAACGTTCTATAAATACTTAGTCAAATGTATTTTCCCTGGCTGTTTCCTTAACAGAAGGCAAATTTCCTGAACAAAAAAACGTTGTTTTGTTATATTTATTTGCTTTGGCTTATATGAAAGGCTTATCACTCGAGTAGATCAGTCGATGCTGGCTAAAAAATATAAGTAATTTTTGTATTTCTCGGGTGCAATTAGTGATCGTTTCCAGAGTTTATTTACTATCTGCTTGTGTAAAGAGTTACGACATTACAATAGACACCCAAAACACTTTTACCGTAAACCCTTTACTGTAATCTTCTTACAGCATAGAAACATATGTACGAGTCACTAGTTGGGAGAACGGAAGGAAAAGCCCATTGCTCTATTTTGGAGCATTGTAGAATATTTCCAGACCCTGATCGCTAGTGTCAACTTCTTCCTAGCTAAGTTCTAAGTTTATTTAAGTTTTTATTTATTTAAGAGAGTATTTAAGAGCTCGAACTATGAATGACTGTTTCCATTTGATGAAAGATCACTTCACAGCTCCCCTCGCCTTGCTCATGTTTCGTTTCTATTCGCAAAACAATGTGTTCGGTAAACATTGTATAAATCGTAGTCATTCATTCCGGCAAGGCTCGACTGAACGCGCTAAAAAACAAACGTCCATACTACAGGCATATTTGCATATTAAGATTATCTCATCGACACTACCACTACGTCTTATTTATGAACACGTTTCGAAGCAGCAAATGCAAGAGGCGTATGCGCAGACTTCTAGTTTTAAGTCTGCATATACGCTCTATCTAATCTATAAAGCTGCCTTTTACTGGGCATAGACGGTAAATTAAATCAACGCAGCCAGATTATCTTATATTTAACAATAACAAAAGTACGAGTACTTGCCCAATGTGAAGTGAACCCTGGTTTGACATTGCGTCCGGTCCATGTCAATTCTAAGCATGATTTGCATTGGTCTGTTTATCAGACATGTATAGTTTTTTGTACTTAATTCAGCCCATGCAGGTTAATGTGCCATACCCTGCACAAGCTAGCAACTCGGGATGTTGAAACCATTTTGGTGAAACCATCCAAAGGTCACGCAACCTTCGGTTGCAGTTTGTCGTCTAGATAAACAGTGAGTAAAACTTGTTATTTGTAGACTGTTCGTCTTGATAGTGTATCCAACGCACCTTGCATAGCGTCGGACATATGTACCAGTTACATTCTAGTTTTCAACTTCCTGAGCTTAGTAATTTTTCTGGGGGTGTGTTGGGTGGCAAGTTCTTTGATGCAAATGAAATACTAGTACAGGAGGGTATTTGACCTCAAAGGCCGCTGTTCAATAACCTAAATTTCAGTTAGTTCTTCAAGTCATGCCAAACTTATCGATTACCATGTATATGTATCCCATAGTGACACTACGGCGTTGATGACTATCGACCATGTCGATGATTTTTACATGGAAAATATCGGGTTCAATCACGGCCAAAAATCATAAAGGCTTTCTAAGATTGCTATCCGCCTATTTACAAGAATTTACGAATATATTTACAAGGAATACACAGTGAAACAGTTTCAGTTTGATCTAGTAAGTCGAATCGCTTGAAGAAGCCATGTAAAAAGGCAGTTTACCCGACTAGGACCTGAGGCTGATATACGTCATTCTTCCACGTCGTTTGCTATCTCCATTATTCCAATAGATGAACCTCATACACTATAACAGTATACGATGTTTTCCTAACAATGTAAAAAGAAGTTGAGTGCCATAGAGTAAGACCAGACCACCGAAAATAATAGCATTAAACACACGAAGTACAATGTGATTGAACGAATTCACGCGAGCGTAGAAAGGTGCAGCCTTAAAATCGAGTTCGGCTAAAGCTGGGTTTAGCTCTGTGCTTGTACTGTACTCCCTAACACAAAATGATATTTCAGAACACGAATTCATTGAGAAAGGATACAGAGTGCGACAAAAAAGCAGTCAAAACCTGGCCAAATAGGAGATACCGCGTTCTTTCTTGCAGAAACCTGTTGCCTCAAACGGCGCTTGGAGGCACCTGAAATATAAACATGGACGGTTCAGAAAACGCGGGCATTACGAACGGTGTGACGAAATGACAGAAATGTATGCAAAGAAATTCCTTTTTACAATGTATATGATGGCAAATATGTGTCGTTCATTTTTTTTTTCAATTTATCAATTGTTACTTTTTCCCTATATGCGATAAAGAAGTAGAAGGACTCGCCGGAGTTTACTTCGATAGCAGCTTTACTGGTTGAAAATAGGTTAGCGCTACAGCGTCCAATCATCACCTCTACGCGTTTTTGTGTCAGGAAATTATATTATTATTGTTTTTACTATTTAACGAAACGTCGTGTATAAAGCTAAGATAGTTATTTTCGGATCTCGATTTTCCCGTCACAATGTTTAAATTATCTGTTCAAAGGTGTAGATAAACCCAGCGCAATTTGATAAGAGATTGCCTGCAATTTCTAACCTAACCTGCACAATTTATCCGATTAAAGCGTACAGTCTTTTAGATAGCCTTTAAGATACGTATTTTTACAACAGCGGAATAGCTATTATAAACGGTATACGCACGACGGAATACGATCAGAAATATAATGTCCTATCTACATGGATTAAGTACTATCGTTTTTCATTGTCCCGAAGCCGATTCAGAAACAGGATTTTAGTATAGTCAGAAATAGCAATAATTTTCTATTTTGGCATCAGTTATATTTTATGTAATTGTCAATAGCTTCTCTAATTGTTGCCCGAAGCTATGTGCAACTTTTTCAAAATTGTTATTCTAAGAAAAAAAATAAAAGCTTTAAACACGGCCGTATTTTTTTGTGGTAAAAAATTTTATCAGTCTGGGTCTAACCCATAGACATTCTACTCAAACAAATTCGTGGGGCGAAATTCGTCCTAGGAACAATCCACTGGTCCTGTAAATTGACGGGTCAAAAAAAAATGGTCCAGGATATTAAAGGAAGACTACCGTCGAAACAAGCCTTGACAGGCCGATATATTCTAAACGTTCCTGTCTCTATCAGAGGAGTGAGCTGCTGTGTCAAAATTCCAGGACCATAAAAAATTATGTTATCATCTCTCTGGTGAATTGTCTAACCCATTTAGTCTGAATCGAATCGTGGACATTTAGCAAAAATACATGACGATTTCTTTCTGACGCTTACGCGGTCAGACGATTGTTTGCAAGAAACGATAAAAATAAATCCATGGATACACTCTTATGATTTTCAGATCCGACTTTAACGCACCATCAAGTTATGCAACATATCAAACTTCCGTGTTCTTTAGTATTAAAATCCATGTAATAGAAAACTAGCATGGTGGAAGAAGTTGACGAACAAGCCTATGAAAATTCGTCTGTTAATTTCACTTGGTTACTCATGATATTGTTGTGTCTGCATCCGCTTCTCGCTGCTTGTTGTACTGTCCGGATGTCACGTCCACGAGGCCGGCCCGGAACTCAGAGGCCGTAACGTAGCAATCTGATGCTACTCCAGCACTGCCTCAGAGGTTATTGTTCCTGTTGATGTTTTTAGCAGTCGCGGTTCATTGCGGAAATAGTTGATTTAAAGCTCTAGGGACAAGCGCGATTATGGTCCATCCTCGCGTATGGCACGTAACGTAGCCGGCAGGACCTGTTTCTGTGAGCCTTCACCTCTAGCAACAGGACGCTGAACGTCAAAATTACCAATACCGTAGCACGTCCCACTGGTTCGCCTGGGGTACGGCGTTGTGAATTGGAAAGCGCATTTTGCGCGTTGCATATATGAAGTGGAAGAAGATGAGGTAACTGAACTAGCGCATGGGCGGACGTGAACAGGGCCTGCGAACCTCAAAAACGTAACTATATTATCCTACTTTAATGTATGGCTACTGCAGGGGCAGGCAGAAGTTAGTTGGCTTGAGCAAGCGCCAACAATTTGAGTTGACTTTTACCAAAGGTGTAAGTATATGCACATGTACTCACCAAGTAAATAAAATATGTCTTCTTCTTTTCGTATGGGTTATGCCCATTAGTAAGCTGCTACGAAAATATCCTGAATGATTCAAGTCTAACAGCCGCTGAGTATAAGTCGTATTAATACGCGTGTCTGTTAAATCAGGAAGAACCCAAACGTCTATTTAGAGATGGGCCTTTAGTAAAATATATTTATGCTTTATGGTTATGTTCTTGTTGTTTGTTATTATTTTCAATTACTTTATAGAATATTTCAAGTCAAATCTAGATAAGTGATACACAAAATTAGATATCATCTTTAATATACGTTTCAGTTTAATTTTCAAGATTTGCTAAACTTGCGAATAAATGCCAAGCATGCAACTTGTCAATCCCGCTAATCAGTACTTAATTTTTTGATAACCCGTTTGGTGTTTACAATCACAATATGATCAGAAGAACCATACATATACGATTTGTAATTGTCTCTCTATTCCTGAGAGTATGACCTGAAGAATGTAGAGAGAATTTGTAGGTCGACATATACCGTAGCAGACGAGGCCGTTTGAAGCGGAAACGGTGGGCGTCTGAATAATCTAACTGCTTTATTTGGTACTTTCTGTGGCTGGAAACAACTGCACAGATTAAATAATTAAGAGATTAGACGGTTTAGATTATTCAACAGTAAGGGAGTATCCTTCAGTGGAAGTCTGTTGCAGTCGTGCGAAAAGAACCGTGTTACTCCGACCGTCGTTTGCTAGATGAGCCTAAGGTGCAGGCCCATCAGCGTACTCGAAGCGTTTCAAAGCCAAACTGGAATATACCGCTACCAGAGGGCGACAGTTGCCGGACCAGATCGAATGGGCACAGCGAACCTCACTGTACGAGTCAATGCTTTTCAGATCATCTAAGAGATATTCTTAATAAAAATATTGACTCTAATAGAACATGGCCTATATAAGGAAGAACAATTTTGTAAAAATAATTGTAAAGTATGAGCCGTTGCCAGCTCTTGGGTTCTAAAATGCTGAGTTCTAAAATTCCAATAGGTATTTATTTAAATCCTTCGTTTAAAATCCAGCTTTGGACATAGGTCATAAATCGTTCGTTCTCTAAGGTAAATCGTTGTGTCTATCGACCTTTTTGAAGATTTTTTCTCACAAATGCGAAACATCTCCATGGAAGGTAGAAACATCAAAACGTATCCTTCAAATTTTACCTTAGCCCACAAAACACGTGCATACAAATTTCTGCAGATTGTCGGCATAGATGCGCCAGTATAATTCCTAAAAGGTACGCTTTGGCGTTGGGAATCATCAAGACTTTGTAATGTTAATAAAGGCCCACTAGGACAGTGTGCATCTATTTATATGGGCCTGTTTGCTATGCCTGCCGATTTAGAAAAATAGAACCAGCGAACTGATACAGACTGCAAAGCATAACTAAACCCCTGCTAGTTCGGAAGCGGATAGCGTACAAAGGACACTGACTACGATAAGTACTCAGTCTCTAACCCACGGCCTAGCCCTTCACAACACATATAGTGAACGGGCAGCAAAAGCAAGGCGATCTGACAGCGGTTCTAATTGAGAACGTCGGGTCCACGGATGTGCTAGCCATCTCGCTAACTAAATGCGTTTCGCACAAAGATCGAAGTCTAAATTTTATGCTTCGCAGACCATGATGCGGGGGAGTGTGCGTAACTCTGAGGAAGAAAAATAATCGAGATAAATGTTCGAATTGTACATAACAACACAATTAAAGGAATCAACTCCTGCATAGTAAATTCGATCGCTTTAGAATGATTCAATTTTCACATCTTGGCCATAGAAATCGATTATAAAATGGACCCCACAGCTGATCCTCCTTCGATTCTGGCCAATGAATGATTGAAAGCTCAGTCTCGAAGTGTGTCTATTATTAGTAGCAAACCATGAATCACACCGGGATTTCAAATGGCCTGAAACAGACAGGCTATAGACTGAGAGATATGACCGGTGAAGGTTATAGGCCCTCGTTGGCGTGCGCAAGCTGGCCTGAGAACACGTTTTTCATTCACTGACCCCAACATTCATGCAGTCCAAAGTCACTTTCTTAACGTGTCTTGCCTACTCATCACGCGAAGTGAGATGGCATATTTATTAATAATTATAACATAAAATAACGATCAGCATTAAGTAGGTAAACGTCAGTTAAATTTATAGACAGACAAGTAAGTAACTTCTGACATGAATTTTCACCACGGACTAATACAGCATCATAAAGCGGCAACAACAGCAGCAGTCGCTGAGGCTGAACGGCTAACTTTGAGTTCCGGTCGTAATGTTCCGACTGATTCGAAATACACGATTTCTTGTTTGTGGAGGTATTTTTGCATATCCACACCCATAAATAAATTTGTTTTAGAACTAGAAATGACTGCGGGGGTTGCTAGAAATTTGTTATCTGGGTATTTATTCAGATTGTTGCCACCGCGGATGCATTTACGTTGTCTCTGGCAGGTCACGACGCTGTTCGAGGCTATTGCGAGAGGACATATAAGTAGAGAGCAGGTGCGCGTTGAAGAGCAGACACAGGGGTTGGTAAGCAGGGACTAGCGTAGCCCAGGTAACGCTGATTTACATATTCAAAACTGCACCAGAAGGAGCAACATTTTTGTTTCGGGTGAGGCGAAACTGGCTGGACAAAACGCCGCACAATCGGATGACTAATAACAAGGGGCAGGTGGTGAAATTGCATTGTAAACAGAGATCTGCGGCTCGCAAAAAAAGCATTGCACTTACGGTAGTCTGAACTTACTACTCTACTTCCTCCGGCCGTACAATGTAACTTGGGTTTGGTATTATCAATATGCAACCGATACAAAACTCTCTAAGGAATCGTGTGGCGATTTACCTGTCTTCTGCTCACTGGGGGTGTCGTCAGGGCCGTTTGTTGCAGCAGTCTTTCAGAAATGCTTCGTACTTGTTCAGGCACTTCTTGTGTAGTCTGTCAATTGAGACACAGTGTGAGATGTACAACAGATTATTTTCTATTTGTATTGGAGCTTCGATAGGAATAGTAAATGTTCACGACGACAATAACTCTGCGTGTGGAGCACAGCCTACTCCTGCCCGGAAGTTTTTCCTACCGACACAAACTAAATAGAAACGATTTGAACGACGAAATATGGAGTTAGGTATCGTGATAGGATTTAGACTAACAGTCAACGTAGGTGTAGTGGCTCACCTGGACCTATTGATTAATTTCCAATAATTGACCCGAAATTATGTTGTTCCTAGATCTAATAAAGTGAACTTTCAGTAAAACTCTGCTTGTTACAGTGAGAAATATTTATTTCAGTAACCTAATTAAATATATTTAGTGCATTATAATGTTTGTTATCTACGAGTGGTTTATTTTTCCCGATTGCATCCCGTAATCTACTCCTCTCTATTTGGAAGTGTAATTTTTCATCTGCAATAAAAACTGTGTGCTTTTGAGAGATTTATAGAGCGAATTGAGTTCGGACCTGGCCTTCCTTTCCCTGCTAAGGTTCTGCGCGTCGTCCTGCGCCGTCTGTTCCATCTGTTAAGTTCTAGCTAGACCCTACTCTCAAGTATCTAGCAATCTTCTTTGCCCTGACAGACCTTGCTATCATTGTTGAATTTATTCACTGTTGTTTAATCGGAAATGGATCAAAGAAGCGTTGCGGTTTGAGGCTTCGCTGTTCACATAATTGCTTCAATGTTATTACCAAGCAAGCTGGCTTCGTGTATCGTCCATTCGTTATAGCGCCGAGAAAACAAATTGCCATATGGCTCAAGAAGCCCTGTTTTGTTGGATAGGATAGGCTAGAATGCTACGTCGGTCCGGGCTGGAAAAGCCCTTCTTCTTTGTCTTCCAATTGGCATCTGTGTAATTTTTACTATAATGCCTTTTATCGTAAAGCCTTTCGCTTTTGAAGGTCCAGCGAAGTTTGTTCGACTTTTTTTTTAACGGCTCCTCTTGCAAAGTGCACTCATGTGCCGAAAGAGGCCGCTAAATCGTTCACGTCTAATTCTTTGATTCTTCAAAAGGTGCCCTTGAATATATGCAATATGATGCGGTTTAAGAAGTAAGCCAACACGGGATCTTAGCTAGCATCGACCTTCGAATCATTCACAAATAGAACTCAAAGCGATATATTCTGATACTTCTGAGCCATATATATATATATATATATATCCGGATAGACAATTAAGTTACACTACATGGCATAATATAATATTGGGCAAAAAGGTGGGCTAGAGGCACAATAGCAGCCCTTTGTAATTTTATGGAATAACGCAGCCTGACTAATAATCGCGGCCTTGGATACTTGTAAAATGCATAGATGTACCGCCATCTATATGACACAGTGCCGCTATTCGCCGCCATACCAGCACATCAGAGACTCAAGCTAATCTATGACTGTGTCAGGAACACTTAAAATGATATTTTTGTTTATCAAAAGTTCTTAAACCTGACTAGTGCCACTTCTGTGGTGTCATGCCATCGATGTCTCGGAATTGTCATCGATAACTTCGGAAATCATGAAGCAAAGTATGCAAGAGGGAAACTTGGTGTGTAAGCTTAACCAAAATCAGAATGCGTTATCCTACGACAATTGAAGTCAAGTCGTTTATATAAACTAAATACGAAATGTGGCACCGTTCAGATTACCCCCTAAATTCGTCTACTTATTGGGTGGTCCAAGTCCTTTTCTTCCACTGAGGATCGGTGGAGGGAACAATCATTTACGGTACGATCTGTTACAGGGGATGATTCGTTTCATGACCAGACCACGTTAATTAATGTTGAAACCTCCTGTCAATATGGTGTCTGTCGGCAAAACTTTTTGCACCAACAACTGAAGGTTAACTTCGTCTGATATGTCCGCCGAAGAGTTGCATACAGAACTGCCTATTAATCGTAGAACGCAAGCAATGTTCAAAAGTGTATTGCAAATCCTGGATAGTTCTTGCATAGAAGTGAATAGTCCGTCTTTGCAGTTCTGCAGCTATATTTTTCAAAGCTGCCATAACTAGTGATGGCTACGGCTAGAGGGTAGTTTAGGCTATCGTATCCAATACCATAGCTTAAGATCTATGAGGATTTACCTGCTTCAGTGCTCCCAGCCTTTTTTTCTTATCCGTTTCCATTTCGATTACCAGCTTGCTAGCAGCATACGCGCCCTGTTGTCGTTATCAGTTCAATGTATCCGTCCTATCTAGATTGCAGTTCTAATGTGCTGAGGTTTGAGATTATTTCCCAGCAGCACCTATATGGAGATTTGGTCTGTTCTGCAGATACCTAAAGCCTAGAGGATCTCTAAGGGTTAGCATATGATCGTTCGAGGAACAAGTTGCTTCTAAGGCAAAGAGGTGTAAAGCATATTACTTTAGATTATCCTTTTGCCTTCGAGACGAAACAGGCGAAATTGTTTGCCACTTTTCTAAATTTCTTACCATCTTACGTGATAGGCGAAGCACTGGTACGGCCATTATCTAGCACCTTCCGTGACTGCTTAACAGTAGATGGGACTTCTATGGAATGGCCGACACCATGAGATTGGCGGGTTAGCTCAGCCCTTAAGGAATCCCTCCAGCTAGAAATCCTGCCTCTCGACTTGTCGCATGTGCCAGTTTGCATGTAACGGTAAGGAAAGCAAATGGCGAACGTGCTCGAATACATGCCGACGTTCCGCTACATGTGGCGGCGCTACTTGTATCGAGGTGGTCTTTGCATTACCTGAGGTCTGTGCAGTTAACAATGTGAGAACAAGAAACAGAAGGACAAGTTCAGCGTCCAGAGGTATGAAATTAAGGGCAAAATTTCGAAAATAACGCTGTGCTGGCGATTAGGGATTAGATAGGTTCGAGAATTTGAAATCAGAGTAATCGCCTGCTTAAGAGCGGGTCGCTTCGGATGTTTGTGGAAAGGCTGCTGAAAAACTCAAAAGTTCGCAGATGCATGGTAAGAGTTGACGGTATTCAATATTGCAGGCGGGACCGAATGCACCGAAGCCGAAAATGGAACAATGTTGAACGGTACGAAGAGTAGAAGAACAGGGTAGTTAATAATTGGTTCTGCTATTGACGTGTTCTAGGCAGGGAAAGCGGTCAATGCCGGAGCAATCTACCTGCAACAAAGCGAAAAACGGGGCGGTTTTCATGCATACGTTACTCTATTGACGTCAAAGAAAATTCTGGATGCAGAAAGCTGCGCGGTCACACAATACACGGTATCGGTAAATATGATAAACCGTCTGTCTTTTCGTTGCAAACAAATATTTCTTTTTTTTTTAGTTTAAAAATGATTCAGGCTCTACTATATATAACAACAAAAATCCAAATGGCAATTATTTTGCTTATAAAATACTTAGAAATGATCCGTACTTTATAGAAAAAAGGCAAGGAACTTGTTCAGTAGCAATAGGCATACGTTACGCGATAAACAAACACCTGCGCGTGCAGATCTATTACCTTGCTTTTGAAAAAAATTGGCTTTAAGTATCTCCTGCATCGCAGCCTGTTGTTTCAAGCGAGCATTCAGCTTTTATGATCAACCTGAGAAAGTTCCTGGAGTGCGGCTTAGCGTTCGTGTTTTCTGCTGATTAGTATTTCCATATTTTTTTTTAACCCGTTCCCGATACTTTATACGTCTGCCTATAAGTTGCCGTTCTTATATATTTCTGCTAGAGGATTGTTCCGATGAACGTATGCTGTTTTGTGTACGTTACTGTGTTCCCAGCTGAAAGCGTCTGTTTTGGCTTAGCTGCAAAGGCCCTGTGAAGGGTTCGTAATACGAGTGGAAGACTGAATCTGGTTGAGCTGCAGCGACACCACACAACACCTGCTCTTAACGTGCAGAAAAAACATAGACGATGCAAACAACAACCGGCGGGAATTTTACTGAAATTTAACGCAATAGGCGCCACTGTCAATTCACATCAGGGGCACAGCGAGCAAACAACTAAACAGAGGTACAGTCCCTTCTATGATAAGACTATCCGGGTTTATATGTAGACGTATATATGTGGCACAAACAAAATAGGTTAGATAGCTTCTTGTAGGCTGCGGTGAAGATGCGTAATCACCTTCGTCGGTCGAATCTATTACATTCATCTTAAGATATGGAGGATAAGCTTATACCCCACCAACGTAAGGTAAAGAGAACTTAGCTTGTTCTTTTTGCCCTTATCCTAGAAAATACTCGAACCAAAATCGCACCCGTTACATGGAGTCCTTGAACTTGAATGAAAACTAGATCCTTACATGATAATGAGAATGAAATTAAGTGACATTTCATTGAAATTAGATATTACAACATGTGACGATCACATAAAACTAAATAGTTTCAATCATCCACACTATCATAGACAATGGAGATCGCTGTTTCGTTAACTGTGAGCTATAGATGACTAGACAACAATACGACACTTAATATAGAAAAAAGTAAGGTGCTACTCAAGCCTATCACGTTGGTCAACCATATATTTATATATAAGGCGTAGTTTCAGTCATAGCTAACCGCGTCACAGAGCACTGTATGATACAAATGGCTAAAAAAAAATAACAAAAGATAAACAACGATCTGGACACTTGAAGATACGAAGCAGTTTCTGCTTTGGAATCACATTATTGTAGGGGATATGCACATATACAAGACTTTTCTAACTTGATCGAAAACTCTGAACCGATGTCACACCGTCGGTATTTCAGGGTAGAATTATGGAATGGAGCGATAGTGAGTGGGAAGGATTTTTTTGCCTCTTCTTTGGAAAGCTCTTCGTTCAGATATTCGTCAGGTCCCAGCTGGCCGTCGAGGGCAAATAAGCATCTAGGAGCAAAAAGAGAGGAAGGAACAGAGAAACGTCTCATATATCGACCCTAAGAGAAATACAGAATAGGATTTAGTTTGTTTTGTTATTTTAGCTTCTCCATGGTCGTACGTACATGTTTATATTTATTGCCTCCTGTCGCCTATATGAATTTAAAATTCTAATACATAGCAAGTGAACCTTTAAAGTTAATGTTTCAGTCCAAGTTGAATTATACGCAGCTTTTTTTTATAGTGTCTAGAATGAGAAGCCTTCTCTCACAGTACATTGACCTTTGCTAGTCAACCTATAAAATATAAAAAAGCACTTCACATTTCACTGCCAGCATAATGTAGGCAGGCCTCCGCCTGCGCCGTTATGACAGTTCTATGTAGGCCCCGAAACGAAAGGGCTTGCAGGATCAGGTACCAAAGAACAACTGTAGACGTTTATCCTTACCAGTCTCTTTCCTGCTGGTCCTAAGCCGGCTTTATGTAAACCGCCAAAATGTGACTTTTACGTATTGAGCAAACCATGGCTAGGGCACCGTAGATAGGAGTCACTTAGAATTGTTCGCACTAGAATGAGGCGTACTTACGCGAAAAGCATATGTGGAAGGCAAACGGACGACGGGTATAGCTTTATCTACTGACAAGTCAGCCACGTTTGTAACTCCATATTTACGTAGCCAAGTCTCATGACTGCCTTTCCCGACACTTTCTTTAATAAGCAAAACTTTCAAAATCCGCGTCTCATAGTCGATTTTTAGTCATATACTTCTTTAATCCTTTGACCGTTAAAGGTCTTACTACTGCGATTGTCAGCTTTAGAGTTCCGTTGTACTGTGATTATATTCTCAACTCAAAGAAAGCTGAAAGCTTCCAGCCCATTAAATATGTGTACCTTTGATTTGCTTTGCTTAAATGCTAACAAGTTTTTGCCAATTAATTAGTAGTTCAGTGTGTTTTATACTTCGGTCCTAATTATTAGTAGGCCGTTTTGATTCGCGAGCCTATATGCCGATGTATTCGCAGAGACGTAGAACTATCGCACTTTGACACGGAATAAGATTAGGTAAAACAAGGCTTAGCTTGCTGGTATCGAGAAATCGTATAAGGACCCACTGATCTTCGTGGTTCCAGCTGGGTCGATTACTTACAATTTTTGCCGATCACTACTGAAAACTTTACGATGATTCCATTTTAGTCCAGTCAAATAGCACGCCTTAACTACACTTCGGTGTGTTATTGCGAAAGGGACAATAACCACTAACTTGAACAACCTAGAATGTTTCATGAGCTATTGGATAGCACAGCATTACTCCGAATCAAGCTTTTATGACTCGTATTTATGTTAACCTCGTTATGCGGTATATATATTGCTTACTCTGTCCGTTTGGCGGCGATTCTCATTGACACTATAGTCCGCTATTGAAATTTAATGAAGCTTGAAGTGCATGTACCCTTGAAATAGCTCATGATGCAGTAGTACCGACGTCATCACATAAAACGAGTCAATAACCTCCACGTCACTTTGGGGCTGAATTGAGTTTTGTGGGGTGCAAACTTTTTTTGATGCTATGCATCGCACAGTCGAGGCGTTTCGAATGTCGTGGGGTCTTTCATATTGCTCTGCCGGTTTGATCGGTACCCTAGTAGACTCGCCGTAAACGTCTTAAGGAATAAGGTGGACATCTGCTCTAATAAGTTGCGGGACGACATTCGTGAACAAAAAACGTTTAGGGAGTAAAGTCTAGATCAGGCTGATACATCACAGACACTCATATTGAACGAAATTTAGAGTACAAATCGGTATTAATATGATCAGCATTGTAATGTTAAACAGCAGAATCGTATCATAAAAAGCGTATGCTGGAAACGACTACAGTTTCGGGTGAAAAGATGTTATTAGATAAATGAACAAGAGGAGCGTTACTGAATGGCAAGGGTCAAGACGAATGCAATAGAATATACCCTAGTAGAACAGATGAAGCAATCTCTCTTCATTACAAAAACACCGATAAACTTGAATTGAAATTGAAGACGCTAGTAAAGGAAGAGCCCTAATAGTATCCAATTGATTGGCGCATAATAAATAGGCTCTCACATAATAATTTTATTTCAAGACTTCAATTTTTATCGATTTAAAGGCTGTAATACCCAGGCCTTACTCGATCTGACGCTTATAAACGTTTGTGAAGTTGCGTCCCATATGCGATGTTAATGACTTGGCGTGCATTGAAAACCATCCAGAACTGTCGTTAAAACCAACCTCCCCGTTAACCCATCGTCATGATTGTAGCACCCATTAGGGCGTTTGAAGCCATGAAATTGCCGATAAAAAAAAGACCAGTTTACATTCGGATTCGATCTGCTGTCTATGAAAAAAATGACTCGTAATAATGGTGCACAATTTATATTCACTGTTGCAAGCCCAACCCGTAACGCAGCCTCTTATTCCATTATAATTTTATGTAGTCCACCGAGAACGCTTATGAACTAGATATATAGGCGTTGGAACGAGTTGGATTGTGCCTGATGTAAACACCAGCTTCTTTGTGTGTCTTTAGCCGACTTCTTTGAAAAGTGTGCTTAGTGTTGCCTTCTATGCTACGTGTAACACCCATTAAAATTGTCTATTTAGTTCAATCAGTTATACTGGTGTACTTACGCCTACTCCAATTGTGGGCGTACGTATAATGCTGATGTATTGAAAATAACTTCCAAACAAAGTAATGACTAAACAATTTAACGTGACGATTTGTTGTACTCATATAGTAGGTCTTCGTTGACTTTTGGAGAAAGTCGCTTTCTGAGAAAGAGTTTATATTCTGAAATTTTAAACGTTTTTAATCAACAAGCCGAATTTGAAGACTTTGGTAAACAGCAAAAGTAGGTTACCTTTAAAGGCTCTCAGAGATATCGGTGTAAGGTATTTTTCAGAAGCACTTTTATTGAAGTTCTTCACAGAGACAAGATTGTCGGCGGCTGCTTATACAGGAACCGAGCATGATTGGACATAATCTTTCCGATATCTACAAAGACTTGGCTAGATGAAGCTTGCATATAAGTTGGCCTTTGCCAGGGTCCTGTGTGCTACAGCCGCCATATATCTGTTATTGCGGAGGTAAGGTGAAATCATAAACCTAGCTGGGTCCTTTGTATCAACTAACTGCTGGCTAGGTACCTTGCTAGGGTGTACTTAATGATACATTGGCCACAGCAACACGTCCTGCTCGGATACCATGTACTTGAAAACTGAGACGACGCTTGCGGCCCAGACGTAATGACTCCGATGCCGTGTCATAGAGCTAAGAATCTCGCCTGATATGATACTGTGGTACCATTAAATAGGTAAAAGCTTCAAGTTTCACGGTCGATACTGGCGTTAAGCATTGGTTCAGACTGTGGTTGACGCTGCAGTCCATTTCTACCCGCGGTGCCATTCGGGCAGGGCGTGTAGTTATCGCAGAGGGTATTGTAATCTACGGTAATATACGGAACCCGTGGACTCTTATCTCTTGTCAATTAAAGCAGAGACGCTTGGTGGCCCTGAATCCCTGTCTCTGACGTTTTCCACAAATCATGAAATAGACTACAGAATGCGTGTGGGAAATTTAACCCGGATGACTATTTAAGTACGTTCGAGCGTCTTTCACTAGCCATTTAACTTTAGTCCCGTAATCGAAACGATGCCAACCTTTAGCTTCAGCGAATCTAAGTGTAGCTTTTGCTGCAGCAGGGTACTGGGGCGTAAGGCTTGCCTTTTATGCGCATTCTTGAGCTGCCCATTTTCTCGGCGAATCGAGTACTCATGTAGCGTTACAATAAAGCCATACCACGAATCTTCACCTGTGTACGCTAACCTCACTTCAGTCACGGAATTCATTTCAGGACGTTTGTGTCTCATAATTGTTTGTGTTGAAAGGCAATTGCAGATGCGCTGATTGATCTATTTGACATCATATAAAGATATTTTCTTTATATATCACTGTCGTAATGTGCTTAAGTATATATGTTTCTATATAATGTTTAAGGTTACAATGTTCGTACGTTTTTTCTGGGGACTCGGTACTAGAATGCGCACTCACGAAGGAATAACGATAAACATCAACACGCTAAAAGGTAGTTTTTATGGCTAGTTTTCTGTGACTTACAGTTTTACTTGATCGCAGCGATACTCACTTCGAAAACGATAATACTGCATTGGGACAAACTTGATCTACATGCTGAACTCCAATCAGGCTATACTCCACGAAAAATAATCTGTGGCCTATTTTGAACATCATCGCAGGATGCGTTTTAATGTACGTCTGTAGCTGAAACATCGGGACTAGCTATTTAGTAGCGATATAAATATTGAAAAGGGGACGGAACAGTTTTTTTGTAAGAAAAAAGACATCAAGATCTTAATAAGACTGTGATATGTACTCCTTGAATGAGTGCATTCGATGATGTCATAAACCAAGAAATCAAGCACGATGATAAGATTGTTTCAATGCTAACATAGTTGTCTATTTACATATCATTGTGACGGATGTCGACTGGTAAACACGTCGAACAAAGACAATGCTTACTGGCGTGAAAATTCGTATCGTCCGCCAGGGACCATTTGACGTCGAAGCGTTACCGTTTATGATAATTCTATTACCACGATACTTCGAAACTCTTGAGCATAACTTACTCGATTATTGGGTATTCAGTGAAAGATGTGTAGAAATACTAAGATACAAAAAGTTCAAACCATTGTTCATAATTGGGCCAATAATAATTCACAGCTATAATGTTTTAATAGTAAATTTGACCTTAATTTACACTTAAGTAGGACTTACTCTTCTACCACTTTTGCGTTCAAACCACAAACATTTTTGTTCGGTTAAAGAACTGTTTTAATATTAGATGTTCTAGACAAACGTCATAATGGTTAGTAGTGCTTCCAGGCAAATGCTTTGATAAGCTTTCTGTTGTGCGGAGCCATTGTTTCCCATCACGAACAGCGGTTAGTAGAGGAGGCCGTCAAAAAAGCTATCTAGTTTCTGATTAAATATAGACTCCCGCGTAATTAGTATGTTTTCAAGTTTCAGAGAAAAATCGCGATAGTAAAAAGCCTGTGGACTGAGGAAGGACACTGGATGATACAGGCGAATAGAGTGTTCCTACTTTATACAATAACATATGGTGACATTCACGAATAAGGAACACCAGACGTTCCTTAAGTTACGCTCAGATATGTAGCCCTACATCTCAAGTACACACAGGCGGCAACTGAAGGTGGCAAAGTACTATACATTTAGCTTCGGCGTTTAGCACCAGTCTTATCGTACCACCTAAATATTTCCTAATAAACACGTTCACTTCTAAATACGACATGTGCGGTGCCCATCAGTATCTTGATCTCACGGTCGCTATCTGTTTCATACCTTGTCGAAGCCACCCTTTTACAGTAAACGGGTCTATCCGAAACCGGAGTCGTCATTTCCATAAAGTAATTCTTTAAGTAAACTTCTTCTAAGTTTACTACTTGATTCGGACATTTTCAGTTGCCACCTGTTGAGTTTATCGGAATATTATTTCAAGGTCTGGCCAGTGGCCTAACTTGGAGGAGCTCACGTGACTTGCAGGACTTTTCTCCAATTGCAAGCTTCCACAGCGTCAACCAAACATTTGACCAAACTATTTAAGGAGCCTGGCCTTATCACTAGCGTACCGCTGGGCCTTCGCACCCGTTGTCAAAGATCTGCGAATGAAAGATTGTTTGCCGTTGCGGAATGAACTCGCCGTAGAATGCATCAGGCAGGTGTTAGACGTGCTGAAAGGAAAGGGCACTGGGCGGAGCGTGTCCTCACCCTCCGCACGAACAAAACCAAGCAGCGGGAGGTGGTGGGAATTCACTCCTCTAAGGACCTACGGATCCCCCCTAGAGAAATAGAGAGAACGAAACTGATTGTATTCGAAGCTACAAAAAACCAGTGGAATTGAAGGACGAAGCAGTGCGTCACATAAACCCTTAACGCAATACGTGAAAAGGCGCCGGTTGCTGAGTTTTTTCAGCTTTTGACGGTATTACGCGTCCATCAACCACGAAAGGTGAGTGGTTCATCCGCAGGCAATAGTCGTAGGGGAAACGGCGGGGGCGCCAAATACGAACTACGAGTGTGTTGGTGGATTGTGCAGTTCCAGTCATTAAAGTGGTTAATAAATAGGGTCAAGCTTACGCACCGACACCTCCCAATTATGCTAACCGGTGAAAGGTGAACCGATACAGAAGGCACTCTGTACTCTTGCAACGCTTGATAAAACATCATTACTTTTCTCCTATCCAATAGTAAGTTAAGAGATAGCAAACTAAAAGTAAAGGTAACTGTGAACTTCCTCATTCAGCGGCGAGCGGTTTCTGCAATGCGATGCTGACTCAGTCCTAATAACGTGGAAATTTATAGCTGTAATAGGAAAGTACGGGTTGACATATGACTGATAAATATTTGCACTTGTTTGTAGAAACTGCGAGAAGTTCCGGTGAAACAAAATATAGCCAACACTATTTGTGATCTCAAAATTAACATTACGATAGCTTTAACACGAATATAAAAAGTATGGTTTCACTAATCCTCGAGAAAAAATAGTCTACAAAGCGAGTCTGATCGGCGCGAAATAAAGCTTAGCTGTGCACCGATATGTAAGTTCAACGTACGTTTGCGTCCCCAGGACCCAAAACGGAAAAGGCTATAGGTTGCCACACACTTTCACAACACTGAAGGGCCTTAGAGCGAAGTCTAAATATATATATGAATCTTTGCTTTATTACAAATTGCCATAGACGAACAGGCTGTTCTAGATCGGAGGACACTTTCAGTTGATTCCGTGCGTATGTGCCAAATTTAGCTTTTTTCACTTATCTCAAACATGCTCTGGCTATTGAAAAAATCAGTACCCTGACCTTCTGTACACCGATTGCGCTGTGCACGTAGCATCCCTTAACTCCAGTTTTAACGAAACATATTTTATTAAACAAATAAATCAAAATACTTAGACAGCTACTTCGTATCCATTCAACACAGTAAACAAATGAAGCTGCACGCGAGTCAATCAGAGTGTAATTATTGACTACTAATTATCTTTTTTGATTAGTTTAAGTGTTGGCAATTGAAGGACAGAAAAAGATTTGATTGATTATATCAGCACCCGTATTGCGGGGGCATATCATTGACTCACGAACTCAGGGGCGAGAAGCGTGTTGATGAAATTGGAATTAACACTCCGTGGCACTCAAGTGGGTCAATGCGTTCCCGTAGCTTAGAAACTGATGCATGGCTATCCTGATATTTGGAGAGTTATTAAAAAGTAAACCTTCTTTGATTTTATTCCTTACATGAGAGGAAGTGTTCCTAGTTACAGACATGAATCGCTAATGGTGCAAACTAAGATTATCAGGTAGCATAGACTTTAACGCTCGGCATTTAGTGTATCGTCCTTTTTTTCGCTTTATAGGGGTGTTATCTTCGTATTCTTCGGGTCCATACCTACACCGAGTTCGGGTTTTAGTTGTGGGTATGTCGGGTCGTCAAAAAATAGCAATTTCGACACTGGTTCTTAGCGTTTGGTCGAGCTCAAGGAATCCAGGATGGCTGTAGGGTGTATAGTGAGGCCTTTAACGCCGACGATAGTTCCCAAAAAGTAGCCTGCAAAAAGTCGGTGTTGTAAATTCACCATGCGCGCGTTTTTAAGGCTCACGCCCGAAGTAAAACGTTATCATCTAGAAAAATAGGAACAGCCCTGTAGAAAAAATTTTCAACAGTATGTAGCACTTAAGCATCAGAAAACGAAAAATTAGAAAAAAATCAATAAATAAAAACAATAATTACTTACATGATAGTATATATATATATATATATATAAAGTATGTGATAATAAGATAAGTAATCTCACTTAAGCTTTAATATTCACAGCTGGCTACGAATAAATAAACTGCCTCTATGGTAATGCCAATTTTAAGCGATAGGAAAGCAAATTTCTATCTTGCACTATGATCATTACTCAACGGAGGCTTGACGTTGTCAATGTTGCAGCATATATCAATCATGAAGTGAAAAGCATCGACTATACTAATGAATTATCTTTCTACTAAAAATTGACAGGCCTATGACAAAAAGAAGCTCACCTCAGATATTCTATGAAGACTCAGTCGAGCTATACAACGATTAGCGTCCTTAAGCCCGTCAATAGAATGGTTTGCACAAAATTTTGACAATAATTATCGTTGTAAAACATAGATCATCGTTGCACAAGCTTTAAACTTGAACTACTAAAGGGTCTCTAACCGTTGGAGAATACAACAGACAGCATCCCGCAACATCGCAAACCCGGTGCTATCCAAGCACTTCTGCGTACCTTTTCAAGTTATTTGAAATAAGCGTTTGTTGTCCTATAAATTGAATATGGAATTCATTTAATTTGCTTTACAAAGACTATTTAGTCTTTGTAAAGCCATCATAAATATTTTACTCTGATCCTATTATATAGATAAAAGATCTACCTATTGCATGTACATTCCAGCTATCAGCTATAATAGGTTTAATTCTTTAGGACATTTAGGTAGTCGGAAGCAATGTAACGTTTAAACCTTAAGGATTTCAGTGGAATGTCAAAGCTGGCGACTTTTTTTTTCGAAAGCTTCTAACTAAATACGTCACATTGGCGTTTAGCTGAAAAACATCAGGTAAATTTAGTTATATCTATTAGGGGGCGCTGTCGTCGAGTCTACTTTTAGGTTAGATGTAGAAGTAATTTATCATAACTGGTTAGTCGACGCGGATTTTTTCTTATAGAGCGTGTTGTTAAATGATATTCAACCTGTGGAGTCAGGGTCGATATTTACCAACTTCTCGAAGTTAGATGATATACGCCCTCACATCCACACAGTTAATAGGATCAGTGTCAGATACAGCTAACTACCAATAAACTTACCCTTTGGACTTACCGGGTATGCATGCAAATTTTGATCATAGATAGGATCCATAAGCTATAATAAATGAAACATAGAGCCAAATGTTTTGACGCGACGCTCAAGTATTGTGATGTCACGTTGTGGAACATTTGAAAAGCTTGAGATATCTCAATGCTGCTGCTGCAAAGCAAAAACCCTTTTCGACGACTTTCAAGCTTGTACAACAATATTTTCAGACATTCTCATTTTATAAGCTAGTACGGGATGTACGACAGTTTGACTTCTAAAAGTCTACTATATGATCCGTCGTTCGATATTGGAAAACCATAATCCTCATGGTAGTCCAGTTATGTTGTTAATAATATAAAAGACCTTATTACAAAATTAGCAGACGCGTTTGTTCTGTTGAATTGAAAAACACTAATTGGCTCAATTGATTCTTTTTTTGCGTTATGCATAACGTGGCCTATATCTGTAGCCAATGTGACCATGCCTTCGTTATAGATGAAGCCCAAACCCAGTAGGATGCAAACTACGGCTTCGCTGCAAGGAATGAGCTGATGCTGGGGTTGTCCGTTCGTCGAGGGGCACACAGAGCCGCGCGAAAGCGAGCAGAACCCTCAAAAGGGGACCAGTAATTTGTACTGGGCAACATAACGCGCCCGTAGTGAAATTGACACTGGTGTTCTATGATGGTGTGGCAGACGAGACAGATGATTGTATAGTAAAGAAAAAAAGAAAAGTCATATGTCTGCAAACAAATCACAAGACGCACTGAAGGAATGGACGTCTAAGATGGTCACATGAAAGGAATAAAACATGAAGTCTTATTGCATAACAGCGGGAGACGTAGATCATTTGGACAGTTTTAGGATAAGAGCTCAATGTGTAACGGCCATAGGAAATAAGTTCGCATTTGTACGCTAATGGTACACCTATACCGCGGAGACATGCACATGAGAAAGATTATCACAGAGCAGAACATAAGCAAGCTAGATATAGCTGAATATAGGACTATTAGGCTGGAAGAGCTTTTAGAAAAGGTTGAGTAGATATAATGTGATAAACTCAGGCCGGTCCTTTTTGCATGGTCGCGGAGTTTCGCATGATTATCAATCAGTAGCGAGAAAAAACAGCAAATGCACAGAAAAAATATCAGTTCAACTATTGTTGACGCGCTAATATGATTCTTACACACAGACACACATATGTATGTATATATATATAACCCAAATTAATACGTATATCTGCTTGCTTTGGATCACTGCGAAAATATGGAAAAAAAACAATAGTTTGTTTAATTAGGTGATATCTCTGCTTCGTTAAATTATGGTTGACGCCTATCTATTTCTAAGTGGAGCTTTAGTTTATTAGACCAGCGATGCAAAAGTATTCCGAAATCAAAGCGGATCTGTAGAGAGGAAAAATGTTCTTAAGCTTTTCTGACACACATTAGCGGGCGACGTAATAATACATCTGAACATTTTTTCAAAGGCGATTCTGATATAGCGTATCGCACGTTAAGGTGGCGCTCACGCAAAATCCATCGAGGTGTGAACGATGGTAATGGTTGATTTAGTCCTTTGAAAAACATGGACAGTTAATATTTAAAATCTATCCTTGAAAAGGCTCGTCGACCCTTATGTATACAATAGGATAGGACGCCTACCGTACTTGACAGCGACATTTAGCGGTTGTCTCTATATTAAGCACAAAGTCGTCCAATAGTCCCAAAAGCCTATTTTCAGGTTGAAGACACATTGCTTATTGGAGCGCATTTAGGACGCCGAGTCCACTGACAGTAGAAATGTTAGTAGAAGTGAACTTCGTTAAAACTTGTAAATAGCAAATGTCATTTTGGCACAGTTTATCGTTTTTTATTCGTGCTACGTTGGCCTTGATGTATATTTGCCTCCACAATATATAACGCATAGTTTCGTTGGAAGAGCCCAACCAAGTGGAAGCTTAACATTACTCACAAATCTGATCATTTTCTTAGTCCGAAATCAGAGATTGGGCGCTGTAGTCGCTGGGTTTATTCAGCAACGTACGATATTAGGTATATAAAACGTCCGTCCATTTTTACTCAAATAGTTCTTCATCCTCGCGTTGCAGGCGGTACGTAATTACGCGTACGCATCGGACGTTAGCCAACGTTATTCTGCCACTTTTTCCAATCAAATCTGGAGCAAATTCGGATCTACTGGACTTGAAGCGAAATTCTCGACCTTAAACCCGTCGAGGGCTTCAACTAGCCCTGCTATGTTATCCGTACGTCGTTCATAGCTATTCTTATTATTCCCTGAAAGGTTTTTTTGCAACTTTCCCGTTATTCTGTTTCGATAAACGAAGGAATAATTCCATTATTTTGTCAAAGTATCCCATTTAGATCCCAATTAGATCTTATTGCTTTCGTAAATCGATTATCCCGCTCCGATTATTCAGTTACTCCGTCATAGACGATCCGCTGCTGTGTCCTAGTCTTTCTGAATGGCATGGACGAAGTGTGAAGATCCTGATTTCCTTTAGAAATGTTGTATCGTCTTCTAAAGCCAGCTACGTACGATAGCACACTTGAGTAAAAATGTGAGAAATCTACTTATTTTCGACAATTAAATGGTGCATCTATTGTGTAAAACATGAAAGACTAAGCTGCTTTTACCGTATATATATATATATATATGTTGTATGCAAGCGATACAACATTGTACATTTAAGAATGTAACGATATAAAATATGTGACTGCAAATCAACAAACGTACCTGTTATTAAAAGAACGCTTCACCCAAAACTTTTACTTTTTTCCACTAAAACCCAAAGCTTTATCTTTTTCTACATGTTTCTATGTCATATTAACAGATATGAAAATAAATAGAGAAAGCTCTCACCGTTTGCATACGGATGAACTCTAATGCATTTATCGTTCCATCTTGTAATACTAGGTTGCCCTATTCGGAGTACGTTTCTTTTTCACGAAGAGGAAGAGCTGCTCGATTTTCCCGTAGCGAACAAAGTGAGGCAAAATTTGAGTTACAGAAGCAGTGTAGCTGAAACCCTTAAAGAACCGATTTGTGAGCTCGCACGAATGGGTTTTCAGGCTGCGCAATACGTCGTTATGCCTGCAGAATCCCCTGGCGGCCTAATCGGCCATAGAGACGCAATGTTAGAATTTTAGACCTATTATTGTAAACGGTCAAAATATGTTTCTGAAAGCTGAATGATGATGATTATGATTTTTTTTTGAAAATGTTAAGGATGTTTCAATTCTGACTAGCCTACTTTTCGCTCAAATAGCACTTCCCTTCCTTTTCGTTCTGTCCACATGGCAGCATAATTTTACAGATACTTATTAAATCCTGCCTCAGTTGAATGCACGTTTATATCCTTGTTGGCCGTTAAAGCCTTTACGATTGCCATCGTCCGTCTCGTGTTCATGGCTGGCGCTAAAAATAGCGCCAACGATGCAATAATATGCTTCAGGATGAAGTTCAAGTGGGTGGTAAACTCCGCAGTATATTTAGTATTGTGTTCTGCTACTATATATATATATATATGAATTATTAAAATATACATAAAATTTATGAAATCTGAAAGAGCATCAGAGAGTTACAAAATGTGCTCGACATTGAAATCACGTTCAGTCAGCGACAGCCGAAAGCTGTGATAGAATCATCAGATAGGTTAATGAGGATACTTGTAATCGTATGCGTGACAAGCTTTCGTTGTGGCTGTTTTATGCCCCTCAGGGAAAAAGCTAAATGATAAGAGTATACTCATAAATGTAGATCATATGTACGGCCTTCGACAGGAGTTTACGAAGACTACGTTGTACTGCAAGTGACTGGCTTTACCCTACTTCCAGGTTTTGGCAGCCTGGAAGCTGAATATATTTATTTATGTTTACGCAATTCTACTTTCATGGTTTGCAATTTTTGCCTTAAGAGAATCTTTCTTGTAGTGGTTGTCAGTAAATCCTATTCGGGAAGTTGCTAATTAGATCATTAATTTGACGCAATTTCTCTACGAGAAATCTAGGTTTTTACACTGGATATTGTGCTGGCAAGTTTCATGCAGTCACGGACCTGTCCGATGGCCTATACCTACGTCACTGCAGTCGTTGGATTAAAACTCTAAATGACATAATAGTTGTATGAGCGACCGGACACAGGTCCAGGAGAACATGTTTTCTGTAACCCTAAGCGCTTAGTCTAGATATATACACGTCCTCAAGTTCCCATAGTGCAAAACGAATTAGTTTCTAACGCCAATCTTTCCTCTAATCCTGTTTATATTACTATTATATGTTGCGCCTTAACAGACCGTCACTTGAAACCTTTTGGATATGAGTTCCGCTTACTTAATATTAACACCTCTGATACCTCATAGATTACACAGTGGGCAACGAACGTTACTGATCTTATGCGTTTTAAACCATGTATTATTCCCAGACGATAAAGAGGATGTAGTGTTTTTTCCGTATGCACCCACCGAATATGCGGATGGGGTATTCACACATAATCATTCACGCACAGCTAGATGATCTAAGGGTATGAATACATCAAGTTCACAATATGAGTGTCATTCGTTGAAAGACACTCAGTCTCAGTATGTCTGAGCCGTGTCAAAAAAGCCCTGGCGGTGTGCGGGCAAAGGCCACTGAATGAGGCAGGAGAAGATTCTAGTTTCTGTACGTATTTTGTGCGTAATGAGTGGAAATCAATGCGGCTTAGAAGAGGCTTGACGGGCTCAGAAATGACGTTGCGAAAACCACATACAATTTCTCTATGCTCAAAGTTGATCGCAACCAAGAACTAAGTTAGCTAAGCAATATGAATTGGTGTTCCGTTGTACGGGTATGTGACCACACGTTTTAAGGACACACTAACAGAAGGAGTAGTTATATGTTCAGCAAATAGATGCCTGGATTATGTTAATACACAGTTTAGGATCGACATTTTCGAGATATCCGTGATCGAGCAGGTACTAGAGTTACAGGATGTCAAGCGTTTCATGTTACTACTTGCGCAGATCATCCTGCGTAGTGATCGGTAGGTCATATTAATAGGCATTTATGATCAATTTTGAAGCATGATAAATTCTCAAGTTAAACACGAAAAAAAAAGAAAATAGATTCTAAGTTATATAGCATCTTCATAGTACTTAGATTCGAGACCACATATTTTTCCGTTGTAAAAGTCTGGTGGTAAATACCTTCCTATAGGTTTACATGCTTCACTGTAGTAAAACAACGAATCGCCTTTGAAGTTGTCATACTTCTTTAAAGTCACTTTAGCACATGTAAGTAGAGTTCTGCCAGAAATAAACACCCCGCTGGGGGTAAAATGGGTCGAAAGCACAGGTTGAAAGAAAGGAGTGGAAGGTACGGCTACCTTTCTGCGTAAAAAATTAGATGAACGTTCCGCCGGTCGAGACGCGATTTAAGTGACTACATTTTGCCGGTGTAAAATTTCTACATCAATAAATGCGCCAATCAACAACAGATAGATATATAGATACAACAGATAGGCGGTCCTGATGAAGCTAGAACAGAACTCCTACAGTCACTGTTCAGACAACAGAAAACGACAAGAAATTGGTACCTTCATAGGTAAACTCATCCTTATGATAATGTTGTGCAGGCCGGTGGCATAATGTCTTTTACACACGTATGCCCCTAGGCCTTTACCTATCCCTAATCGGAAAGTTCGTTCTCAGTTCGCGTGGCTAATTACCACGAAAAAGCCAACCTATTTACAGGGAAAGGTTCAATGAAAAAACGGGATTCACTCGTTTTAGTCTACAGCATCTCTTTATACAACAACCTTAAACTGGGAAATGTGCTGAAAACATGATTGGGTGCTATGTTCTTCAAGTTCCCCTACATTCTTCAGAAATGACGTTGACACTCTGACCTGCTACGCGAAACCAATTTATTTCTCTAGTCAGAAGAAGCGGGGCTCAGTCAACGCCGTCAAGAGCTGTAGGAATAACGTGAATGTCTCAAAGTGACGCAATAAGAGGAACCGTTTACTAGCGACTATGTGCCGTTCAGTATTCCTGAACTGTGTCACATCTTTCAAACACAGACATGATGTTTGCGTGTTACTATCCGCAAATGCGGTGAAGAATCTGGCAGACTACGTTGCCTGTTACATTACCAAAGCCACAACAACAACGATGAAGTCTATTCTCTTTGAACTTTTGGCTATCTATCTCTCAGTTAGATGATGTTGACATCTTTGTTGCCATAAATATAGTGTTCCTAGAGGTTAAAGTACGGCGACTTTTAATGATGTGGTAATCTTTTTCTTCGCGCGTAAATTTTTCGAGATTTGCTATGTAGCCCTAATTGTGGCTCGAAACGTCCCAGGAAAGTTTGCTTTCGTATCAAACCATGAATGCGGTGCCAGGTCTATAGTAATCTCGACGATAATCTCATTCTGTTTTCGAATTCTTAGAAAAGATACTGTGTTTTATGAACGATTTCAGCAAACGAGAATTATATGTGCGTCGGATGATGTCCCACGACCAATATGAAATCCACTTACCAAATACGAGCCCGTATAACTTGCCAAATATATTACCATATGAGCACAATCATTGTTGTCAAAATGGGGTTTGCGTAAATTCAGCAAAAATAGCAAAATCCTATTTTTAGCCTGTCGACTCATGCAGTACATATTTGTTACATGCTGTATTCGAACATATATAACAGAAACTTATGTCAACGTTCACAAATCGTTAAATTGTTGACAGAACGCATAGGTTAACCTAACTTTCTACATGTGTTTATTATATTTTTGTCCGTTTTTTCTGCCGTCGGATGCCGGCTGCTGCTATAATAGGTATGAAGTGCTCGTCAGCTACTTACGGGTTCGGCAGTTCCACCATCTGCCTCACATCTCTGACAATCAGTGCTGGAGTTGTGTTATTGGCCCTGGCGTTTACGTTTGACGCAACGGTTGATGCCGCTTCTTACGTCCCGCCCAACGTCTTCAAATACCACAGGCGGTAAGTGGCACGTTTAATAGTGAGTGATTCCAATTTGATTAATAGTGATAGTAGTAAGTGATAGAAGTAATTATCTTCCGTCATCAGAATATACGATCTTCGTATTCCTAGCAGGCATATTTGCTCCTTTTGTGATACTGCACTTTTTATCTACTCCGATTTAAAGTTTACTGAAGTTCGCCTCAAGAGTCGATGTTATCTGTGGGCGCTGCGCAATTTGATTAAAATAATATCAGGGTAAAATCTAATTTTTAAAAACTAAGTGAATTCAAACAAGTATGAGGTAAGGCTAAAAGGGACGAGGTTGAATACTCACTTGGCTATGTACAAACGACCCGATTTATGTGATGGGTAATTTGAATCGAATTGAAACTTAATAACATTGAAGTATCGAAGGCGAAGTATATACCTTATATTAACAGGGTCGCGCCGATTCGATGCATTGTTTTATATAATTTAAGTTCCACAAGCATCATCTATGTTTGTTGTATCACCTCCATATAATCGGTTAAGTGTATAAGCTTCGAATTTTTAATTAGCCGTTCAAATACCGCTATTAATTCTTCTTTACGTATTACACTGATCTTCAGCTCTATAGAAGGACAGCTGCATACAACGTATTTGATTTCAAGCAGATTCTCCTATTCCCGACTGATAACTGTAGTGTCATTTCTGACAGCTGTCCCTGTTTTCAGTACAGGCATCTTTCCATAAGTACCGTGTAACACTCTTCCGAGACTGTTTTAATTCATTCTTTCTGATAGCGTAACATGGCAACTATGAGGCTGAAAAACTATCTAATAACGTAGCTATCAAGTTATTAGACCTTTCTAGCATTAGCAGACGACGTTCTGGGGGTCTCTTGATTTCAGTTTGTGCTAGTAGACTTCAGCAAAGTCCTGTTTATACTCAAGAATCGAAAATAAGAAAATCGTTAATAATAAATTTTGTCCCTGGCATAACCTTGCGCATCTCAAAACCCTCAATAGGTTGATCGCTATGTAAGTATATCTAGTTACGACCAATCTCTTGTTCCTAGGTTCCTAATTATATCTAATTAATCGAGTGTAATAAGTAAATGTAAACTGTGTGTTCTGCAGTCAACATAAGAACATGGGTTACAATGTGTGAGAAGCCTGCTAAGTTCTTCGCGATGCTGATCCATTTTCCATTCTACCCTTTGTTACATTTTCCTTGTTAGAGGGTTTCGCGTACTTACACAACTGACTAATTGCTGGAGCGTGTGTCAATTACTTAGGAACATCTTGAAAAGAAAGGTAATTAAAAATGAATTGTTTTAACGAGATCTTCAACTCTTTGCCTTTCACATGTACTAGCTCGTACTTGTCGTACAATTGGTGCTATGGTTTCTTTCGTACTATAGTAGAACCCTCGTCGACAGATTCTCTATGATTGATCTTGAAGCTATATTACTGTGCACAGGTTGCATCGATCCGATAAGCAAAGCAATCGCCTACTGTACAACCCTAAGGCAGACTGCCTTCTCGCTTACACACTGAAGTCATTACATGCGCGAATGAATGAATAGGGCGGTCACCTTGATATACTCAGTTGGTCTAAGATCGATCTTCCTGTGCTTCGATTTTGGCTCGAGCCCATTCGACTTGCCGGCGATACTGAGCGGTCAAGTCTCTCTCTATGAGAAACGAGATCCGAATAAGGCCAATGAACTTCGTGTCATTTCCCCCGTTACTGCTACAGGTAGGAAAACGCGGGAACGTAGTGCCGGAATCTTCGTATAGAATATGCTTTTCGTATGTTTGGCAACGACGGACGTTGACCGCTGAGGCGAAATCGATAAACATCAACGCATGGAACATCGTCAGGCGTATTGCGTGGCTCTGGGATTGAAGCAGTCAGGCCAAGCGTATCTGACAGGGTTAACATTTCGGTCCGCTTTATACATCTTACAGAGACACACTCTTATAATAAAATTAGGTGATTTGTTATTGGAGCTAGCTTCAGTGTGGGTTTGATAGCTTTAGACGATGGAGGCTGCAAAAGATGTTGCGGATACGAAACACGAGTAGGGCTCGTTATGCTTTATTTACGTGCATCTAGTTAGGGGTCCCGTGATTGCACAGTGGTATTACCGCTGAATTTATGACTATGGAAGTTTGTCTGGGCTTAGAACCGAGCACAAAAACGCCTCGTTTCCTTAGTTAGTGGAAGCCAATTATTTGAAGTAATACTTAATTAAACTAGTACCGCACGTAAAAGCAGAAGGATTTATCTAGATATACATATAAGACGCGATTACACTTCGTTCGTTCTAGAATGGGTTCATGTTACAGACAGTGTTATATTATGTCAATTATGAGCCTAAATTACCATGGTAATAGTAGAATTTTGTTTTTCTTATTGGCCTGTGTTCCTTCGTGCTACGTTAATTTATTATATTCAAAGCTGGAAATTGTACGGCAAATGCTGATTTCATTGTAGCGCTTAATAAATCGATTTTTAAAATGACAGTTGGACAAACGGATTGCTACTTCCTTTCAGTCGGATTTTCACTTAAGTCTTCAAGATCCTTTGTCTAGTTACTAAGAGAACATAAGCTTTGCAATTTTTCCTGTGTTTTCGAATTAAATAGTGAAAACGTTCTTTTCCTACACTATCAGCACTAAGCTAAGATAGGTAAAGTAAATTAAGATACGATACTAGAACATTGGCGGTTGTTGAAACGATCGATGTGAGTCGTTTGATCGGTGATCAGGTAAGCTCTATGTAAGAAGAACTGAGACTATTTGGCTGCGGCCGTATGTCTGATCCCCGTCTCTCGGGAACGACATCTTGGATTATCGAGCGTCAATCGGTAAGCGGGCAGGGTTAGTCATCTAAAAATGCCTTCGGAAAGTTTCGTTCGTGCACAGCCTCTTTTGTTTGCAGTCAAACTACGTCACGTATTGTTCTTAAGAATAAGCTAGGAACCGTAATGTCATTTAAGGTTTCGTCATGCCTCATAAAATGTAGCTAAATACTATAATCACTGGCTAGTAGTATAATGTCCATCTCGTCCCGTTCATTTCGTCTAATTCTAAAAAATGTTTTCTAAAAATAAAAGAATTCTACTTTCGAACATGTTAGTAGAGATAAAAAGAAAATGTAATTATTAAAGGGATATTAATTTTCTCGTATAATGATTTCAATTTCGTCCGCGTGTACTAAGTGAAACGGTAAGGATTCATAGAGAAATGTTTCGTCCACATTGCGCACAGATTTCCAAAGACTAATTCGAACGACCATATTCTTTTGATGATTAGATCAAGCTTCTACTATTGTTATTATCATCATTATTATATGATACAGATCTTCTGAGGAGATACTGATCTTACAGAGGATTCTTTTGATCTTATGCATCCGAAGATCATCTTGGTATCTTCAAGACAGCTTTGAAGATTCTAAACAAATGCATGGCTACAAAAATAGGTACAAAACTAGATCTTACAATATGAATTTAAATGTACCTGCAGATTTCGCAGAGAGTAAATGCCGGCTCGTCAACAGCTACACTTATGTTCTCCTAAAATATAATTTGAATCTCGTTTATGTATCATTCTATGTTCTGTTTGCTAATAGTCTCTACAACTGCAATGGCTTGTTGCGGTCATGGTAGTGCGTGTAGGAAGATCGAAAACAAAATGCAGTAACGCATCTGTTGACAGACGCCCAAACAACGTCGTAGTTTGACTTCGCATCGGTGAAGTCTTCTTGTTCAGGTCAATCATCATTTAATAGCCTAACTTCGGGACGATACGAAGGAGCTTTCGATGCTTCAAGACGATTCATAGAATAACGCCTGTGACGGCCAAGCCGTGCGGCTTCTAGACGTCCAGTCGTATGCGTCGGTGTCAACACGTTCTCTCGCTGATACCACTTTTAGCTCGAGTAGAACAATCTGATTTGCTCTTTGGAAGTCAGGATATGTTTATTTGTCGAATCCAATGAAGCTGATTCGGCGTTAATCCTTTACGAAGTGAACTTCATATGGACGCACTCATGGAGTTCAACCGATCAACATCCGAATTATAATTCCTATACGTAAGAGCTCTAATGCAGCGTACGTAACTAATACTTATCATAAAGGTATGAACAACATTTTTCCCCGCGTGATAGCATGTATTGTATAACTTGATTTGAATAATCGGTATCGTCCGGCATACGCTACTTTTTTATGCGAGCCCTCTGTGGGTAACGCGGAACTTCATTCACTGCCGTCGCCATACCCACGGTAATATGCTCGACCAGTCACAAAATCCGTATCTGTGCCACGTTAGTCAGATACATTTTATTCTTTGTCTCTATCCAGTGCTGTGGTGTTCATTTTTCAGATATGGATTACATGGGCGAACGCTTATGCGATAGTACATTAAAACGATTTGGAGCGATTGGATTTCAAACAACCGGGTACAGATGGACATGTAGCAGGATCGACTAACTGCATTCAAGACTAAAACGTGTTTACGTCGTTGACGTTTCCGAGCTAATTTAATAATATGATCGCTTTTTTTTACTTGATCGAATTGACCGATCCGACTATGATTGTTACGCTTTTTCCACAAAAACAACAGCTTTATCACTTCTGCTGTTAAGCCTGCCACTATTTGATGAACATAATGCACGAGTGGTGGCGGATAACAAGCAGGTTAACGGGTTTACGCTTTGTAAATACTACAATCCACTCTTTTTTAGCAATGAAGTTAAACCCGCTAAAGTGCAACTAACAAACGCATTGCCCTTCACCCTTTACTTTGCTCCTGCCCCGGCCATTAACCTGTCGCCCAATACCCATTACTGTTCACCCTTAATTGAGTGTCTCGCCACCGCCTCACGGATCAGATTCACGTAAGGCAGATACACATATATTTGCTGTAGTCATTTAGATAACGCTTGAGATCCTGGTCGATGTAGGACAGTTATCTACGGGATATGATTATCACATTGAACATTGTTTCCTAACGCATGATATTGATCCCGTCAGAGATGATCGGTGGTGTTCTTCTAACTCTTTCTAACAAGGTTGTGTATATTTTTTCCGATCTCTAATGATAATTGTATGTATATTCGATTTGTTCAAGTGACAAATTTGTTGCCTAACATTATAACCGAGGGGGCAAAGACCGGTGATTCGTACTCAGGTGTTCGAAAATAACATCGAGCGATTTACAACAGGAGGTAAGATACTTATTATAAAAGCTGTTCCCACTTGAATTGTATCTATCGCAATAGATGCATTGTAAATTCATATGCATCCACAGACAGCTGTCAGATCATTCAGAAGTAAGCCTGACGAAGGACCCGTCAGGGTTCATTGGGCGAGTGCGTTTAAGAGCAGTATTGGCCCTAAACGCATTCACCAATACGTCTGAATGCGACAAACAGCAAGCTCAGCAAAAACATCTTTTTAGGATACAAAAAGTTTCGGTTCCATGCTGGGTCAGCTCGCGATTGTCGGTTTCACGGAAAATAGTTAGATGGTTTGCATGTTTCCCTTTTAAGATTGCTAAACGTTTCAATAAGCTTCGACCTGAATCTATTTGGGCTATTTGGGTGCAACACGATTTTAAAAAACTAGATTTTAATTTCTGTAGAAAGACGACAATATCTTACAAAGGTCGTTAGGCTCCGGAAAAGCGGCAGCGGTTCCAATAGCCTATCCTAAATTCCTATACTTAAAAAAAACTATAGTTTTTTTTAAGTATAGGAATCTTTCTAAAGATGGCGTTAAAATTTGCTTGGCTCTTAAGAGGAGTGTGCCTGATGGTGTAGCGGCAAGGCGTTTGCTAAAGTTAGGTACACATAGGGCGGTTTAGGTTCTAAATCGGGCGTAGACATACTTCGATCGGTGGTGGTGAAAGCAAATTTTTTAATTCTCATTAGCCTGACAAATTCAAATGGGACACCAACGATCATCTTGATTCTCAGTGCTCGAACGCTTTTTTAGTTACCTATGCACCTTTACGTTGCTTGCATCTTCTATGCAGAATATTTCATGTAACTTTTGTATATTTTTACGGATACCAGTGAGTGGGGAATACAATCTGAGGAACCCAAAGTACCGATACCTAAGGAACCTAAAGTGACGATTTAGCTCTGTCTCCGTTCGCTCGAAAAACTCATTCAGGACATGATCACTATACGGCGACGAGCAACATGATAGTCACTGCTCGTTAGGTATATTCCGACAGACGTCGCCATTATTTTGATTTGCGTTTCTCATGTCTAATTCTGATGCTAATTTCAGATGACAAATGGCTACTGGTATATAAAATGAACAAGTTCTCGTTATAACGCATGCCAATTCTATATTAAAAGGATATTCTGGAAGTATCAATAGCCCTCAAAAAGCAATCCGTACGCGATTGGCAAACCTGATAGGCCAAAGGTGCCGAAAAATCATGAAGGTGTCATTCGCGTAAGCGATCATTTTACGCGTGTGAGTTGCTGAAATCTTAATTAGAACAAAACTCGGCTTGAGGACCGTACTTCAAGGCATTCCCACGTTTGCTATCGGCATGCGCTCCATATATTATCACATCTTTAGAAAATCAAATGATTTACGACGAGACAGTACGAAGGTAGTCGTAACCTCTAGAGGCACATCAAGACAGAGATCTGCCTATTTTCAATGACATTTTGCAAGGTGTGCCAGTGTTTTAGTCGATCTAGAACTCCCAAAACCGAACCGAATAGGTAAGAAAAATCCAGTACGTTCACGATGGTTATCAAATCTGTTAATCACTAAATCTTCGAAAATTGTGGTTGAGTAGTACGCCGGAGATATGGGACTGAAGTAAGTAGTTTAGGCACATGCTCTTTTATTCTTCATTGAAGAAGCAATCCTTGCCTTCTTCGATTTAGTAATAAAAAAGTCCGTGTCACTGGATAGGTCAACTATGTCGGCTGGAGTGCGAACAAGCCGTATTCCTCAATAGCTTATCCGGGACATTAAAAGTTCCGCAGTACTATCCATGTTTTTCCTTTCATAAATATCGGAACTTCAAGCGCAGTAGCTTAATTTAGGCTAAACAATGCGCTGTCCGGCTGGCTTTATCTCCACCCGGGCGTCTAGGGAAGTAACAGTAACAGAGCCTATGGTTGTAGAGGGTTAAGGGCAGTCTCCAAAGTCTATTAAGCCTATCAATAATAGCTGGAGGATTTTGCCGTTGATGCCCTGCGTTAAGATCGTAAAATCACAAGATTCTCTGGTAAATTTTCGCGGTTTGAAAGTATCGCTCCTTAGCATCGTAACTCGTAAAGAATAAATAAGCCAAATTCTTAACTTCAGCCACTGCTAAACATCGGTCATACTCAATATAACGCTAATTACAGAATGCTTTAGAAACCGAGCCAAGGTCAACTATATCATAAACTAAGGGCCAGTTTATGTCTTGCACTCAGTTTATGGAGAGATCTACGAAGGGTCGATCACCTAGCTAGGTAAAAACTGACCCTTTAGGGGAACTGCTTGAGAGCAACGACAGATTCCCCCCAAGTATGATATTGGATATATAAAAACCACGTTCGCCACTGTTATACGGTTGATACGAGTCATCAATGAGAGCGAGTAGTTTTGCTAATCAGTCCTTGGAGAAACAAAAGCTACATATATATATATATATATATATATATATATATATATATCAGCACATACGGAAGGGTAGAACTTTACTGGAGCAATATACCACTAAATAGCTTAAGGACAATTTACTTAAACATTACACCGTTAATACTGCTTTTTACAACTGTCAAAAGTTTTATAAAACTTGAGCGCTGAAAGATCGCCGGTTCACCGCAGTGGCTTTCCAGCGCACGACTATGGGTATAAATGCTACGATGTCTACAGAACGGCGCTTGTAAATCTTGAAAAATTTGAAAATCATTGCCAAGATTTTCGTAGAAAACCTTCTTTCTTGTTCGGTTCGTTTATCCTTCCACTTCACTTCGCTTCGAAAAGTTGTTTCGCTCCAAACCAGGCAAAGCATATAGTAGCTTTTGTAGCCGTGAAGACTGTGCAATCAATCAACGCAGCGGTGAGTGAGCTTATGAGGCTTTATCCACCAATCACGAACTATATAGGATTATGTAGGAGCAGTTAAAAGGAGAGACCGCAGCTCAAAACAGCTAAAAAAAACAAAATGCCTAATTCTTGCCGGAAGAATGAGCTAAGATTTTTTTTTCTTAAAAGAGGCAACCTCGAGTCGCGAAGTCGTCAGACGAGAATAATGTGAATGAAGCAACTTAACGAAACAATCACATGTTAAAACTTGACCTGTGTGCTAAACGATGCAGTACTGCCAAGGCATGCAGATCACTGTGTTTATCGTTACCGCGACACCACGTAGATTATGCGCTCAAGTATCGCATCAGTTTTATAGGTTTTCAGCGCAAGTAAGCAGCAATGTGCGTATCGCAGATGTGCTAGACATAATAAGACAATATAAAAGATGACTCTACGTATCTTTATATCATCATCAGGTCGTTCTTAGGGGTAAACTTTACGAGAAACCCGTTACGACGATATTTTGCATAATCTATTGCTTTGATTAGAATAAAGACACAATCTGTCCCCGATAGGAGAAAGGCTGACACTATGATATGGCGTGAATTACCGCATTATGCAGAGACATCTGGCCAGGTACGAAACGTGTCTAAAATTTCTAGGAGTATTTTCAGCATGTGCGTGTCTGTTGTGACCTCTTTCAGGGCGTCGATGCCCTCGCTTTCAGTCGTGTCTCCTTTGGATGTCCTCCGGGAGACACAGACAAACCGTCTCCTTGCCGACCGCATCAACGCCAACAACGCATTTCTCTCGAGAATCGGCAAGCGTGGGAATGATGGAGCGCCAAATTTTCTTCAGGTACTATTTATGCATAAGCTTAACTCATCTAACTGCGAAATTCCGTTTCAAGTCTTATACAAGCTATAGTATAACCATGTAACACCGTTCACGCAATTATATAACTTACAATTGTATATAGGCGAATACCAGGAGTTATTACTGAAAAATGTATATGGTTGACACATGGTGATTAAGTTATGGAGGGGAAGCCACAGGAATAAACGGATCGTCTTGTTAATACAGCTTTAATCGGACCATACTAAAAGTAAAGGCTTTTTGGTAACAACAACCTTAGAAAAACGATGATGATGATACGTGTAAATCTTTATACAAAATATGTACGCGTTGCATGACTGACAAACATTCAACATGTGAAAACAGTCAAACCGCCGGGAATCCTCTACGGCAACAGGCCGGCACGCAAATCAACGAAACAGCATTTCATCAAAGAGCTTCAGATGTCTCCCCCATCGGGTATTCAGTCATCGTCATTCCTAATGATAAAGTGCTATTTCGTCTTAACTATTTCTGTCCAGGTCCATGTGGCAGTTCGAAGGTACTATTCGTAGGTAAATGTAGCATAAAATATAATTTCATCCAACTTTCTTAATCCATTAATGACCTATTATTATTATTACTATTAAAGTATTTTATCTAATCGAACTAGCTGCAGGAGCAAATATGTTTACTCTATATGTTTACTAATATGTTTATGTAATTTTCTCCCAGTTTCTCTCAGCATTATTGAAAATTAATTTTTGAAAATGTTACAAAAGACAAATTCGAATTATTACCACATCACTCGTCTTAATTGATTAGTTTGACCCCTTTTAAGCCTGAGCCCCCTAAGCTAAATTTGCTGTTTATAAATAATTTCTGGGGTATATATTGTGTCGTGTCCTTTTGAAATAAAAGTTTTGCTCCATTCTAGCTTAACTCCACTGAAGGCTCCGTTGAAGCCATGTGGCCTGTCTGCCCTATCTGTAGTGGCACATGTGGGCCTGCCAGCGGAGTAGACGCTGATTTAGTTTTACAAAATACCCATTTTCCGTTTAAGCTTGTATTCGTAGACGCCAGAATATCTAACACGTTACTTCAGAGTCAGCACGAACGCTTGACAACTAACAGAGCTAACTTCTATTGGACGTAACGCCTAGCTTCACAAGTCAACAGATATTGCTCGTTTTCACAAGAAAATTACCTAAATTTAATTAATAACTTTTCCCTTTAACAGAAAGTTTTGTACAGTCAAGAAGTTTGCCCACTGTGTCATGAACGGAACACATGTCTTAGGTCACAATGGAGGTGTAATAAAGGAAGAACCTTTTTCAAAGATTATTTTCCTGGAAACGTTTACTGGTGGCGGTCCAATAAACACTTAGCTGATAGAGTCTGAAAGATAGATATTTCCAAAAAATGCCTAATACCAATTAGCTAACTTAATAGTTACAACGAAATCCTTAGTTTGATATCAAGTTCTATGCGAGAAAAAGCGCTATATAAACAACTGAGTTTGAAACTGTATTTATTTCTCTGGAGACGAGGCCAGCGAAGAAGACTTGTGGTGCACTGAAACGAAGTATGCAAAAGTTCTCGATAATGGATCACTGGTTAATTAAAATGGCAGAATCGAGTTGATACTTTTTATGTGTAATTCAGTGTGAGCAATAGAGCAAAAAATTCTCACCTACACAAATAGCTATTATATACTTACTCAATTCCTCCGAAAACCGAGGGCGAAAAAAACCTGACCAATACGGTAAAAAGCATATTGGAGTTTTCCATAGTCAGTGGTTGATAGATAATAGAAGCCTACGCTAGCATCATGCTCCTGCAGAAGTATTAAAGGATTGAAGATCGCGTAGGAGACTTTCGAAATTTCGGCTGATTACTATTTCCGCCTGTTAGGGAAGAACTATCTTGTAGGTGCACTATAATTTGAGCTACCTGTTACTAAACGTAATTGATATCATACTGAAGTTTAAAATATAATTTTTGCGTCAGAAACGTATGAAGCAAAAACCAGAAGCTTAGAGAACAGCAATCCGAGTTAAACGCGCAAGTCCTTTAAAATTAGGTAGGCGGATGGGTTTAGCCCAACCGATCCACCTACCTAATTTTTTCCACCGACCGGATACACATCAAATTCAATATAACCTAATGTATATTGAAATTGCTGGTCATTGAGGTAGTATCAGTACTCACCATAGGGTACAAAAGAGCTTTTCACATACTTTTAAGAGTAGGATCTTTGATTTAATATTTGAAGGAACCTAATAATGTTTGGTTACTACATAATGACTCCAATCCTTTTGTCTTATATTGCCTAGGCCTTCTATTCGATGTAACGTCACTGATTCTGAGTAAATATAGTCTAATATATTTAAGACACTCACTCGCCCGTCACACGACTCGATATGTTGTTTTATAAATCAAATCGAAATGGAAGTGACAAGTATTATGAATCTAAGTCAGTTGTAATTATGCATCGGACTAAAGGCAGGACAACTTGGTCCTACTTACGTAGAAGCCGCTTTAATATTCACATATTACTCTGGTCATTACCGAGCCCTGGCTGAAAATATACAAAGACTTCTCTGTATCGCCGAAAGTCCCAAAAAGAAGCGCAGTACCACCTCTACGTCGGGTGTCAGTAGCATACAACAGATTGAGATAAACTCTCGAGTAGTTTCGAGCTATCGATCACTTTATTAGCACTTAGTGATTAAATATATGCGGAGCAGTGAATCCATTAGCAATGCTGACGGAGTAGATGATGGTGGAAGGGATCAGTCGAGAAGAAATCCGGTAACTCTGATTTGACAAGGGAAGTTTCAAGCCAGTTGAATTTGACCGACCTGGCATCTGTCCTGCCTTGTGAATTTCGTATGAACCCAGAACATTTTAAAGGAAGTACCGGAAAAACGATGCTTATTTTAACAGGTGTTAATTGTATGGTTTTGTTTGGGTGCGTTATTCGGGACGCACGTCGGTTCAGGAACGAGCCTTTACGTTAATGACAAACAGTATGGGAACTAAACGAATGAACACTCTCTACTTTATATCAAGTGCAAGGACAGGTGTGATACTATGCAAGTTATTGTTTATTCGATTCGTCAGTGAAAATCAACGTGACCCAGCTTATTTTAACCTACAATGACGCGTAAACTTGCTTTTAGCGGGCTTTGGTGAGGAACAAAGCCCAGTTATGCCGTGTGCTTTCTCCTGAACGATTCCCTTACTAATAATTGGTGACTCAATATTCTAGCAGTAAAGGCTGGAAGTCAGCTGCGGATTAAATCTCAAATGTGCAAGTGGATCTTTGATCGTCCTGGTGGTCGTTTCCGGACTCAGGGCCCGGCAAAGTATTAAGGACAATTGCGTTTTTTTCGACAGAATCTGCCTGTAGGCGGAACCGTCCTTGGTGTATAGTTATACAGCATTTTTGTTGTAGCATTTATTCAGGTGTCGAAGTATCCAGAGTTCAAAGAGAAATCGGAAGTAGATTAGTTCGCGGAACGAACCGATGCTAGAATGGCGATTCTTACAAGTGCATTGTTAGACAACGCTATTCGTACAACCCATTGACGTATTGTCGCACGATTTATACGGTGACCTTTTAAGATGGGCCACTGCTGAACCGCGCAGACGTGTCGTCGCAGTCGGGTGACGGCAAACGGAACTACCCCGTTATTACCCCCTACTATTATCAACGTTTAACCAAAAAGTGACATTGCGATAGTTAGTCATTTCTAGAACCGACAATGAATACGATCCAACAATAAGTTTAAGGTCGCAATGACAGACTTTGAAATGTTTTAATTATGAAAAATAAGAATTAATGTAGAACGGCGCGACACTCTTTGAGGTCATGCGATTCCTGAGCCCCAGGCAAAGCTCAAGCTGTTTGTTTCGATGCGCTGTTAACGTTAGTTTTCTGCGTGCTCCATGAAAGACATCACGGTGATACATGTTGTTGCTAACATTCAACTACGCATTGTAGATTTTACGTCCGATATCGGCATTAAGCACTGACTTAAAGAGACCGCTCGTCTCCAATCTTTGTTATTGCAGTATTTCGAAGAATTTTCACAGGCGGAAGAGCCATGAGAACAGGGTTATGACTTGAAACACGGAGGAACTGATCGGGACGCGGGGCAGTGATGTCACAGGGAACGAGTAAGTCGCTTCAGGTAGGAAAACTCGTATGGACCGTCGTATCGGTGACACAGATGAAAACGGTAGGCTGGAGACCGGTGGTGAAGGCAAACGACGTGCCGATGAGAAGAACCCTAGAAAGATGGCTTCGACTGAGCGGAAGACAAAAATCAATGAGACTTGTTGACGGTGCTAAGAAAATTATGTGGAAAAAGATGTGTGAGGATACGGACAGTAGCAACGGAGGTTGGAGCAGCACATCAAGCTGATGAAGGTCGAGTGAAAAGAGGAAAAAAAGCTAAGACTCGAGGAAACCGATGAAATATAACGGTAGTGGCACAAAATAGAGGGCTCTTTACAGTAGATTCTATTGTCTTAGTACGACGGGATATAGCTTAAGGATATACGACAAATGAAACAAAGGCCAGAATAAACAGAAATAAAAAGAATAAATTATGGAAGAGATCCGAAGGAAAACTGAGCCACGCACCATCATCTGATGACAATGAGAACAACAATCAGTAGTGCAAAAACAATGATTCGTATATCGTTGCTCGAAACCAACGGGGTCAGCCAGCTATATATATATATATATATATATATATACTTAATAGATAGATAAATATAAACGTATAAAACGCGATAATGAGAAGTACACCGACAACAAAAACAATATCCTAGGTACGAACTAACATTATTACTACTACGTCCACAAGACAGATAAACAGACAAGCAAACGAACAACAACAACAACAACAATAAGAACGATCTCACTAACTGTAGGTGGCGCATTGCACCGTTGTAACCGCTATGTTATACAAGCATCAATCTCTGTATCAACAATCAGTGATCAATTCCCGGCAGCGACACCCAGGTAGATGGCTGCGTTTCCCGCGCGCCAGTTACCACGGCTCATTTCCAGGACAAATTGAGGGCGTCGCAGATTGAATATTAGGCATGCACGCATCAAACAACATGATGGCAAGGCAGCATGACGATGTTGTTAGTGAATAACTACTACGACAATAGTAATAATAATTTCGAAAAACTACGTTGTTTCAGTATACGCGGAAAACAATTTCCGTTCTAGGGCTGGACGACTGAACGAGAAATTAGTGTTTTTTTTTTTCCATTGAACAACATCGTTGCCGCTATAGCAACTACGGCGATATCATAGATGTATAGGCAAACGTAGCCCAGATGAAGGTTTACAAAAGGTCGACGAAGAAGGAAAAACAGGTCCGAAAATAACACAGGGCATGAGTCATCAACAGAAGTATCTAAATTAATAACAATATTACACCACAGTTACTACTGCTTCGACTAAGATAAGCTCGGTGATAAGGGCTAGAAAAACCCTTTAATTAATCAACTAATGAACTAGAAAGACAAAATAGAAAAAAATCACTGAACAACCCTCAAGGGTAAGCCCGTTAATATTAGGGCTGTACATATTCCACTAATGAGATCCATAATACAGGAAAATGTAATATGAACAGTATGGAAAATAACTATGCCAATAAACGCAGCAGCAGCACATATTGTTGTATCCAGCGGTCATTTCTAATTTATTGCTAACGTATACGATTCCAGGATCGAAGTATGTGTTTTAAGTATCTTGTCTTCAAACCACAATCGTATCCTGTACGATTAACCTGATATAACGGTTTCAATCTATTTCGTCATCCATGAGAAAAGTATGAAAATTATTTCGTTTACTGAGCAATACTATGTTTGTGAAGTAATTGTTTATTTGTACGCAGAGAACTCTACGCGGCAGGCCCTCCCTTCTCTAATAAATTAGCGTCACAACTTGTCGTGTTGGGCGTTGAAATTCTTTTCCTCTTACAGGAAGATACGGAAAAATTTTCACTCAGATCACCTATAACTGTCTAAAATTCTCCATCAAGTTTCCTTCATAGACAGCGGGAAATCATCAGTACTGATTTACCAGTCCCGTTCGATGTATGAAACCAAAAAATTGTCGCTCTGATCAGTTTCCGATATTCTGTTAATGAGTGAATGAGTACAGGCAATTGTACTCGAAGGAAATGATCGTTGCATGCACTTTTTCGTATCGTGCGCCAAATTGACGATGGCACACAGACAAGGCAGCCCTTCGAGGAGGATCGTGCAGCTACCTACCAAGATTTATACTGAGGATCAGGTAAGCATTTGTATATCGCGTTAGCTGTACAGGCTTACAATCGGTAGGCGACCTATCGTAACGTCCTTGCTCGACCTTGCATCGAATCGATTGCTTTTCGTTTGAAAATAGGGAGAAGTGCGACCTTCTATAGATTATATTCTTGTCACCGAGTGCACTGAAGATTGAGAACAACTTATTATGTTAAATAACTAGTGCTCTTTGCTTTCTGAAGGATAAAAAAAAATTAGAAACATCATTTAAACAATGAGATTCCCTATTCACTGTGAAGACATGGTACTGCTGCGAATCGTTCGATAATTATTTTTGTATTCTGCTGACACATGCTCCTGCTCCAGCGCAGGTTTATGCATGAGACATTATTTTTTTAATATAAAAAATAGAAAAACAAATATTTTTATAATTACTCGTTTATTATAGTTATTATTATTTATATATTAACATAGTATATATATATATCGCCCAAAAGGTTGCATCGCAACTACTGAAAAAGTGTTTCAAAAGCGAAAGCGATTCACGTACAAATTTGGAACTTTTCCAAGACGTTGATTTCTGCAAGTTGTGCTGACTTCATCACATTTAATTTACGTATTGTAATTTTTTTTTTTAAGATTTATTAGCCGTAGCAGTAAAATAGGGTTTCCAGCTTCCGTCATTGCTTCGAAAAATATTGCATCGACATGTTGGTCCCCGCTGGCCATGCCTACTGGCCGCAAATTTTATTCAAGAAGTCATTAACATTTACGCTGAAATATTGGGCCGTGTAAGATCTCTCTAAATCTGAAAAAGAAATGGTGCCAAAGGCACCTTCTTTCAAAGATAAACTATCTCAGATGTTAGATTCGATGTAACTGAGGAGAGCAAATCGGCCTAATTGGTTCTGATCCTGCCCCTCTGCTGCACTGTTCTGACACAGTTTTATAATGTAAACATGCAAACTGCCGACTGAAAGCTATATTTGTTTTCTTTAAGCTTTAAGCTCTTCTATATAGGGAATATCGAAAATGCAGATCCAGCTATTTTTTCCCAGCTTCTAGTTCGCTTTGTCTGTTGGCTCGCGTATTCGATTTGAAATACCCTGCGACAGCAATCTCTTGCTATTGATGCCTGCATTGCTCTTACCTCTGCCTCCAGGTTTTACTTGCATTTCAGGATTGCACGGTGTCCGAATTAGAGGACAACCCCGGACATTAAAATAGGTGGTCGTTAGACAAAAACTCAAATTGCACACTGACTGGAGCACAGTCCTTTTGCGGTTGAATTTGCTTGTGTAATGTTTTCACTTTCTGGGTAAACCTTGCCCTAACCGTCCCTTGAAAGAGAGTTATCCTATAAGGCTCTGGCCTTTTTCTTAATAAGTCCATATCTACTAAGTTATTTCTCGTCACGAATGCACAAATTTAGTTGTAATTGAAAATCAGAATGAGAGACCTTCTCACCCCCAATTCTACCTTCGTAAATGGTTTGTATAATTTTCTCGAGCAGGAAGTACTAAGCAGCAGTATCTGATTAATAGGCCTCTTCTCTATTTACTATATATTTAAAATAGGCGTACTTGCGTTTCTGTAATTACTATACATTTGCTAGAAGTAAAGATGAATCAAGTAATGTATTGTAAATGTATCAAGTAAATTTAATATTTTTTCGGTAGCAACTCAAGACGATTGCAAACAAGTTTAGTGTGGATCCATGTTGCTCAGATGACTACCCAGCTTAGGCGTTGCTCGTGCAATAAGGTAAATCAACAATAAGGCGTATTTCGTTCCAGAGTATATTATATAGTAAGAATTGGGGCCTGCCGACCCGCGCAGACGCATGACAACTCCCATTAGAGTAAACGGCTAGGAAACCAATAGCAACGTAATACGCATTCGACCTAAAAGATACAAGAAAAGTTGTTGCTTAGGACACTGTAGACGTCCCATTTACATTTTCAACCTAATAACAATAGTTAAACAGAACATGTAGACAGGTTTAATGTAAAGTAATTACATCTACACAATAGCATATAAATAAGTCACCCACGTTGACATCTTATACGTTTAAGTTATAATATCCACTTCATTCTAATGGAACTGTACGACTAAGCTTTGCTACTACAAAATATGTGTTCGTACAACATTATCAATTAAGTTGAAACTGAAAATGTTTTACGTGTATACGTCAGGTGGGATAGCGTAAATAGTCTCAATATTCTCGTTCCGTATCTAGTGTTCTCACAGATACCCACTATGTGACAACAGCTTCATTGAAATAAAATAATAAAGTCATAAGGGCTAGCCCAAGAAGGGACCTTTTGTGATTTGATTCAGTTCCATAGTTAAGGCCGCACTTCTGGTTGAGAACTTCTATTGCACTGCCCATGAGATCCGAGCTGGTGAGTTATGGCTCATTAATATTACTGAAATCTTATAATGTTCCCGGTAACAATGTTGAATGTGATGGACAAAAATATAATTTACCATCGTATGCGTACATCGAGTTAGCTAGATGCAGGCACGGGTAGAGCGCAAAACGGTGAGCTTCTATTTAAACCAATTCATAGCAACTAGGCATCCCAAAGGTTCCTGACGAAAAGGCCAGTTATACATCAATTGTGAATGACAAGCTTTCATGAACATGGCCAGAATCTCGTCGTACACGAGGTCTATTTATAGAATATTTAGTATCGCACCAGGTGTCACTTGGGAGAATCACGAATTTTTCGAAAAAGGTAACTACCAGTGGTTTCTTTTCAATAACAAGTAATTAACAAGACATGAACATTTTATTAGCGAAATTGATTAGTATTTAATTATCGGAACACCGCAGTAATTCTTTAGTTAATGAATGCCAC